ATAGCTGGGAACCGAGATGCCCCCCGTGCACCCTTAATTGAGAATATGAAATAGAAAACTCAACTGACCTCCACCCAGCTCTTGAGGCTAGTTCGAGGGGACTGTAGATGAGTGTGACAGGGACTATGCCTGTGGAAAACTGTGAAGAAGGAAGAGAAAGAGAACATTTATTTAGCTCCTTCCTGGGCTTCACATACATCATCTCATTTAATCCTCACAATCCAGGGACATAATGCGGACATTATGCCCATTTGTACGGAAGAGGAAACTGAGGCTCAGAGACATGACCTGTCTTGACCAGATCACACAGCAACGGGAACCAGGACATGGTCAGGCAGACCTTGGCACTGTGGTATGCAAATTGCTTAACCCCTCTGACCTGATTTTTGTTTTTGTTCTTGTGAGGAAGATCAGCCCTGAGCTAACATCTGTTGCCAATCCTCCTCTTTTTGCTGAGGAAGACTGGCCCTGGGCTAACATCCGTGCCCATCTTCCTCTACTTTATATGGGACGCAGCCACAGCATGGCTTGACAAGCGGTGCACCAGTGCACGCCCGGGATCCAAACCGGCGAACCCTGGGCTGCTGAAGCAGAGAGCGCGCACTTAACCTCTATGCCACCGGGCCGGCCCCTGACTTGCTTTGCTCATCTATTCGATGGGGGTAATCATGCACAATCCCACAGGGTTGTCTCGGGGATTAAATAAGATAATATCCTGATTAAATAATGTGGCTCATATCCAAACTTAAGTGTTATAATTTATGTAATTGTGGAACCTAGGTTCCACTGGCTTTCTACTTCACAACGCCTCTCTGCTGGAAGCTTTTTTTTTTTTTTTTTTGACATCACAGGGCCCTGCTGTACTCCTGGGACTTCCAGAGGACAAGGCCCTTTCTTCAGTCAGGCTGACCTAAACAGAGGCTGCCCTCCCTCCCCTCCCCAGTCACAGCTGTGTGTTGGAAAGCTGGATGGCTGAGGCCCCTAATACAGAGCAGACCTCCCAATCTCGTCATTCCCTCCCCTTCCCCTCACATGGGTTTTCAAATTAAAAGTAAGGAAAAGCTAAGGCCTAAAAAGAAGGAGGGGAGTAGGAGGCACAAAACTATCCCCAGACTGAGGCAGCAGTGCTCTCTCCCCAGGAAAAGGGCATCAGAAAGTCCAGATCCTGAGGAGGTCCAGGCCCATTGCATCTTTCCCAACTCTGAGGAGTGTAGGCCCACCTGGGCTGGGCTGAGCCTGGCCGGGCAGCAAAACAGGGCTTACAATCTCTGGTCCTCTGTTGGGTCAGGAAGCAGTCTGTGATGTTAGGAACCCTTGGAGAGGGTGCAGCTGGTCACCAGCCAGAGGGGACTGCTTTCTGCTTCTCTCGGGAGACACATCTCTGGAGAGGAAGCCCCAAGGAACCCAGAGGAGACGCTGCGCCCTTAGATCCATCCAGCAACGGGGAAGAAGGGGAGGTGTGCCAGGAGTCCTGGAGAGAGGAGAACTGTCACCCCAAGTTACAGGCCGGTCCCGACCCTTTTGAAGAACTCTTCCTCCTCCTTTTCCAAGACTTGGGACTCTCTGCATTCTCAGAGTGCAAAGAGGCTCCAGCAAGCTTGGAAGCCTCAGCTGGGGCAGACCAGAGGCAAGGGCGGGGTCCTCGCCCGTCTCCCCGCGGGGCCCCCACGTTTGTGCGCCACATCCACAAGCCTCCTCTGAGCCTTTCCGACGCAGGTCCCTTTGAGGGGCCCAGGGAGGCGGCTCCTCCAGGGGCGGTCAAGAACTGACTGGGGTGGGGGAGGGGGCAGTAGCGACGTTTTCTTTTGCAAACCACCAAACGGCCCCTCAAATCAGAAGCTAGAAATGTGCCCCCACCCCATGAACTTCATTTGGAAAAAAAAAAAATCGCAAGTTTGTTTACATGGGATTTTCACAACTAACGGCTTTGATTACTGCTACAGCCATAAGTCTTCTAAAGCAAAAGACCTTGTGAATTTCCGGAAGAAAGTAGAATTGTGGGGTGGTGCTGGAGAGCAGGGGAGGAGTGGAGAAGAAACAAAAAGCCAGCTCAGCGGCAAACGCCCACCGAAGCCGAAGGTGTGATGCCCGGAGCAGCAGCAGCGGTTATGGAGGAGTGGTGGCCCAAAGAGCTAGCCCGCGAGACGGCGCGGGGGCAGATTTTGTTTGTTTCAGACCATGTTTATTTGGTTGTAACAAGTTTGCGGGGCCCTCTTTTTGATGGCTGGCTCTACTACATCCCTTTATACCCTTGGACCCAATTTCATGTCGCCTGTGGGCCCAGACAGGAGAGGCCACGCCAGAACCGCCGCTGTCCCCAGACGGCCCGGCCCAGCTCAACTCCGGAGTTGGGCCTCCTTCCCAGGGGGTCGCAGCCGCTCAGACTCCCAGTTTGGGGAGAAAAGCCTCATTCTTAACCCCATGATGATGCCTCAAGGAAAAAACACAAGAGGTTGACAATCAAAATCCGGGTGCGGGCTGGGATTCTCGCACCGCCTCCCAGGCCGGTGAAGGTCACTCCCCGGGGCGCACAGGGCGGCCTGGTCCCCCGCGGTGCCCCGGGCAGAAGCCGAGGAAGAGGGGAAAAGACCAGGCGGCTTGCCTGCTGCGTCTCTGGGACCACCCAGGACCCCGGGTGTCGGGGGAGCAATCTGGCAGGATCTTAGAACAACATGGGGAGAGCGCAGCTCCGCTCGGCCCACCTCCCCCCGACGCCCGGGCTGACCGACGCGCGCAGACCCGACTCCCTGGAAGCCTCGGACCGGCGGCGGAGGGCGGACAGCACGATTCAAACCCGCCTATGAGCAGTGGGAGGTGCGGGTGGGAGGGGGCGGCGGGGCTGGACTCGTTTTCAGGAACGAACCGCCTCTTTTCCAGGGCCTCCAGCCCTCGAGGTTGCTCCTGAACACTGGGTTTATTTTGCTTTTGCAGGCGAGGCAGATGTTGACCTCTCTCCATCTCAGATGGAGTCTGAGCCCCCACTGCCCAGACTCGGAGAAATCTTCCCCAACCATTTGCTTCCCTGTGCCACCCCCCACCGGTGCGCTATCCCGGGAGTCAGCTCCCCAGGCCTTTAAACCTTCTGGAATGTCACACATGGCAACCTTTAGCAAATGTTTGTTAATGATCATAACAAAGGCATCATTCAAATTAGGCAGGTAATTACTACCAGAAGGACAACTGGGTGCTCACTTGCTCATCCATTCCCTCTGCTTTAAACTCGCGAGGAGTTACGGCCCGAAGACACCCCCGCCCAGCCCGCTTTTCGGGCCCCTTTAAGCGTCTCTGAAATGGACTGTGAAGGTACCATTTGTGGGCGGGGAGCGCGGGGCCCTGCGTTCGGGAGACCCCGGCGCGACCCGGCTGGCATTTTCCGGCAGCAAAGCAGGCCTTTCCTGGGTAGGCTCCCTGCCTCGCCTCCTACCCTCTTGGGTACTTGGTATAAAAACTTAGATGTCACTTGTCTTTATTAATAGCATGAAAGCTAGCACCCGCTTTTTCCTATTATTCCGCACTGTTTTTTGGGGGGGTCTTTAGTTCGCGTCCATTATCTACAAACATTACGGTATCCTGTTAGCATTCCGAACAAGGGGCTGTTCATATATCTGCCTTCAATGATTTCCTGAAGGAACATGTGGAAGTAATAGTGAGGAGTGCAGTCACCCGAACTGAAGATGCACGAGAGGCGGGCGCGCAGAAGGGCTGGGGGAACGGGGCCCCTGGCCCAGCCGCAGGCGTCTTCCCGAGGCTGACACCCAAGGAGCCCGTCCCAGTTAAGTACAGCATCCCTCGGAGTACTTCTCTGTGACTCTCCCCTGCCGGCCGTCCCGTGTCCACCCTCCCGATGAGGGAGAAGGTGATGGCTGTCCGACGTTCAAGTCTCAACCTGGCCGCCCTGGCCATTCTGAGACTGTGAGGGGTGGGGGTAGGGATAGAGGATGCCTCTCTCCATCCCACGAGAGAATTCAAAATTAGAGAAGGCGGGGAAGGAGAACGCGCTCCCCTCCCCCGCCCTCGCTCAGAAGCCCCACTCCGCCCAGGTCTGGTTCCTGGAGCATCAGCGCCCCCTTTCCTTCGCGGGCAGGATCGTTCTCTCCCGGCACTGTCGAGCGCCTCGCGCCTTGGACATAGGGTTTGGGACTCCGCTCTCAACCCCAGGGCACTGGTAGGGTCTGACCCACGGGGCGGGGAGGGTCGACATGCACCCTCCCCCGAACGCGGAGGTGGCAGCCTTGCTGTAGACGATTCCCCAAACGCTCAAGCCTGAGCCTTTTTGTGTGCGTGATAGAAGCCAGGCAACGTCGCCCAGATAACCCCGAAAACAAAGGCACGACAAGATAAGTGGCTCCAAGGGAGTAAAGGTCGTTATGTCGGAGAATGTTCCAAAGCTACGCAGATCCTCGATTCTTTGTACTCTCTTTCAAATCCCCCTTTTAAAACAAAACAAAACAAAACACCCCATCATCTTCATATTGGACTCAACAGTTTGCCTAATCCCATTAAAGGATTAGCAACTACACGGCACTTTCCCTAAAAGACCTCAGGTTCAAAACGACGCAACCGCTTGGAGACCTCTCCGGAAGGCCCTGTTTCTAGTTAGGCTAGGCATTTCTACAGAAGGGACACTTTTCAATTCCATATTTATATTGTTTCTCTGCATTAACTGCAATTTTATGGGTTCTTTTTCTTCCTTTCAAAGAGAATGCAAAGCAATATAGCAGCGTAGGAAAAGATCCTTCAAATCAGGAGGCAAACTCATTCTGGAAATGATGGGCAGCTTGTATTTTCACGAACCTCTTTCCCGGCAGAGCATCAACACCTCCCCCTTCCACCACCCCCACCCCATCTGGTCTGCTTCTTCCCGCCCCCCAGTTGTTGTCGAAGTCTGGGGGTTGGAGCTGGACCCCCTGATTGCGTAAGAGCAAAAGCGAAGGCGCAATCTGGAGGCTGGGAGATTCAGAGCGCACGGAGTTCGAGGGAAACTTTTATTTTGAAGAGGCCAAGGGAGGGGGGGGCTTCATTTCCTGACAGCTATTTACTTAGAGCAAATGATTAGTTTTAGAAGGATGGACTATAACATTGAATCAATTACAAAAAGCGGTTTTTGAGCCCATTACAGTTGGAGCTAGAGGGAGAGAAACAGAGGAGGGGACGACTACAGGAGAGGACTGGAGGCCGTGGATACACTTTTTACTCCATATGTAGGATTTTCATTGCGAATTGACAGAGGAGGAGAAGGTAAGGGAGGAGAAAAAATGATTTTTGCTTCTAAGAGAAGTCCCCGATCAGGCCCTTTGGGCTGGAAGTGAAGTAACTTCACTCAAACTTTGGGCGATGAGGAAAAAAAAGTGGAGTTGAATTCCAGTAGTGTGTCTAGAGAGTAATTTATTTTGAATAAACTTCACTTGGAGGGAAGATAACCATAGAGTTCGAAAGTCTAGGGATTTAAAAAAACACATTTTCCAGACCTATTTTTAAAAGCAGTGTTTTTCTAACAACTCTACGGCCTCCCCAAGAAATTGTTTAGGCTTACATTTTTGAGGTTTCTTTTAGGGTTGGGGGTGGTATTTGTATACTGGGACGAGGACCAAGAAATGCTGGGAGTGGGGGCAGAGGTGTTTGCCCTCTTCTTGGCAGTGGGTCCTGGAAGGCGACAGGTTTTTAATGAGTATTTTCATTCCTGGCCCGCGGTTTGGTGGGACAGCGCTGCAGCCGGTGGCGTGGAGCGCGGCTGGAGGACCGGGGGAGGTGGGGAGAGAAGAGCGCCGAGTGGGGCGCGGAAAGGGTTGCGGGGAAAGGAGGCGTGAAGGGCTCGGCTGGAGAGGGCTGGACCTTGGTACCCGCCGTGTTCACATGGCGCCGGCCGAGGGCGCGTAATTACTGGACCGCGCTGCGCCGGGTGCGAGCCGGAGCCAGACTCAGCACAACCGTGGCGGCTGCAAGATAAGCCGAGGGGGCGCGGACTTGGGGAGCTCCCCAGTGGTTTGTGGGATCAGTGAAGTGTGAGGGAGAGCGGGCGCCAGACCCGCAGTGCGCTCGGGTTGCGCGTCCTAGCGCGGGGGCGACGGCGGCGCGGGCGGGCGGGCGGGCAGGCAGGCAGGCGGTCTGGAGTAATGACAAACACATTTGGCCCCGAGTAAAGAAGTCATCGTCGCCTCGCATTCCAGCAACTGGGATTTGAGGAATTTCGAACTGCGCTCCAAGGGGCCCTCATTGTGCGCTGTGGTCCCCACCCCCACCCGTCTCTGAGCGCCCCCTTTCTCGGTGGAATCCTTTCTGCAAAATCCGGGGTTCTGCTGCTGCCCAGTGCTGGCCTCAGGGAGTAAGGAAGGAAGGTCGCCAGAAAAGTGCCGAACTTCTTGTGGGGAAGTTAGGGACGACTCGAAACGGAGAAACTTGGTTCCCAGGTAAGACAGAAAGGTGGGAGGCGAACCGCCCACACTACCTCCCTCCGGGCACCGGAGCCCTGGATCCCCCTCGCGTGCCCCTTTCCGCGCGGGGATGCGTGGCCCTCGCCCCCTGCACTCGCCCTGCCTGCTTCATCCTCTCCAGTGCCCCCTCTCTCCATTCCACTCCCTGCGCCGGCCTCCCTGCCCACTTCCGAGTTGTCTCCTCGAGCCCCTCCTTCCTCAGCCGTCTATCCCCATGGAAATCGGCGTTTACACGTGAGATTAACTTCTCCCGGCAGCGCCAGGGGATGGGGCGGTGTCCACTTGGCTCGGAAACTACTGGGATCAGCGGTTCTGTTCGGAAAGGGTCGCGGCCAGCTTAAAGCGAGAGGGAGTGTGGCCCGACACGAGTACCGCTGCCCGAGGGGGCCAGGAGCCCTGGCCGCCTGGCCAGGTGTGCGGGAGCTGCCAGTGGCCTGGCCTCGCGTCTCTGCCGGGAAGGAAGTGCTGGGCTGTCTGTCCGCTGTGGGTCTCTCCCGAAACCAGAGCGCCGGTCCCGCCCTTTGCTCCACCAGCCCTACTAAGACCTCAGGATGTGCAGACAGTGTGCCTGGAAGAACTTGCCACTCATTCCATCTCCGAGGGTGAGAGGCAGACCTGGGCTGGAGAGGTAGCGTGGATGGCCCTTTTCGGATCCGGGCTGCCCCGCGCCGGCCGAGCTGCCTGGAAAAGCCCGGGGCTGGGCGGTGTGGGAAATGGCTTTTTGGCTTCGCAGCCGAATTGCTCAACGTTTTGGACCGACTCGCCTCACTTCGGTCGCTCCGACCAGAACTAGGCAGCCTCTCAGAGCAGAGAGAGCCATCCAGAGCAAACGGGGCACGACGATCAGCCGCACAGGTCACCAGACTAACACCCTAGAGCCCAGCGGGACCCCGGGGAGCTGGAGGGGAGGAACCGGTGCCCCCGGCGTGCGCACCCCATCCGCTGCCGCACTGGCTCTGGTTTTTACGTCCTTCACGCCCCTCCAACGCCCATATGACCCACCTGGACCCTACGGTCCCTTTCCCCTTTTCCTTCACCCTCGGCTTCCTTCTTTCCACGATCCTCACGATACAAGAGGCCCTTCCTCTGTCCCCCGACAGGCGAGGGCCCGACAAGCCTCGCTTTGACGCCCTGGTCAGTCCCTGCTTCGGGGCTCTTGCACAGTCTTGCTTTTGGTTTGACCCAAGTGTGGCTGGGATCCAGGACTGGAGTCCTGAGAGCGAAGGGGGAGGCAGAAAGAGGAGGTGGGGGGAGGCACAGGGAGGGAACCCGTAGCTGCCCCTCGGCCCTTGCACAGCCTTTAGATAGACCACGAGGGACCTGAAGCAGAGCCCCGGCTCCCTGGGGCCACTTTCCTCCCGGGGCGCGGCCTGGGGCGGGGTGGAGGGGGAGGGGCATCGGGCCGGGCTTTCCAGCTGCAAACGCGTCTGGCGCCGAGGCGGGCGGGTTTTGTGCCTCCTGGGGACCGGCCGTGGGCGGCGCGCAGCGCCGAGACGCGTTCTGGGGACGTGGTGGCCAGCGCCTTCCTGCAGATCCCAGCGGGTGGGACTCCCTCTGGCCTCCGGGGAGCTGCGACGGGTTTACATGTTGCTGATGGAAAAGTGGCAATTCTGGGGGAAAAGCTAAAAGCCTGCTCGGTGACCGAAAGGTGCGGCTCTCAGCCTCCCTCGCCTCTGGCCTCGCGAGGTCCGCGCGCAGCATCAGCCGTCGGGGTTCGAGTGGGGGGAGGTCTTGCGGGCTCGCCCCCCGCGTGGGATGCAGGGTCGGGGCAGATTGCTTTTCCACACCGCGCTCTAGTCCGGGCTCTGCCGGTGCTTGTCTTTTGCTGAAGTGGCTCGGCGGCATTTCCTTTTGTTTTAAACTGAACAGTGAGCCAGGGATCGGCTGAGAAAGTAGATTGGAGGGGATGAAGAGGACCTCGGACTTGGGGCGCTTCCTTCCCTGCCTATTGCAGCCTTCCGCATCCCCGTGACAGGGCAGCGAAGGGCGCAGGCGGGCGCGAGTGTGCGCTGATCAGCCGCGGCAGAGGCGACCGTCGGGTGAGCGGGGGGCGCTAGGGGAAGCCGGGTTCTTAAAGCCGAGGGGGCGCAGTCTCGGCTCGCCCTGGCCTTCTCCGCGAGCAGCTGCCCCCGGCCGTGTCGCTTTCGGGCCCATAGGAGGCGCTGGCGCGCGACTGTAACCCTAAACCCCCCGGCCCCTCTCCCTCACCCTGCCCGGCCCCCTCCCTCCACCCCGTCCGGCCCCCTCTCAGGTCTCAGCTGAAAACAATGCAAACGCCGAGCGTCGCGCCTGGGGCGCAGCGGCCGCTGCAGCTCTGAGGCCAGGACCGCGGCGCGCAGGGGCGCGGAACCCGGGAGCGGGCGGTCGTCGCCACCAACCCAGAGGGGACCGAGCCGCCGAGGGCGTGGAGGCGGCCGGACGGGGAGCGGGCCGCGCCGTGTTCGTGGGGGTGTGGCGGGACGGGAGGCCGGACGGTGCCGGCGCGGACCCTCCCCGGCGAAGGTGGGCGAGCAGCGGTCCCGGCTGCGCTGTCGGGGACCCGGAGGCTGAGCGGCGGGCGGGCGAGCCGGCGAGCGAGCGGGGTAAGATTCGCGGGGCTGCCGCGCCCCCTAGCGGGCGCCCGGAGCGCGGCCCCCTCTCCGCCAGCCTCGGGCGGTCGGCGCGGCCAGGAGCGCAGCGCTGAGCCCAGGGGCCCCAGAGCCACTAACCTGGGTCACCTTGCCCGCTTCGGGAGGCCCGGAATAGACGCCTCGCAGACACTGTGTGGGCCCGCGGGGCGCTGGGTGGGCGAGAGGGGGCGGAGGTCCCCGGGTTTGGGATGAGGGAGGGGGCGTCATAACAATTAAATGTGGGAGAAGCGGAGGAAGGCGGCGGTTGGAGGGTCCCGGGCGCTCTCGGAGCAGCCGTGGCCGACTTTTGTTTTCAAGCCCCTCGCACGTTCTCCCGCCGCGCAGACGGCCTCTTGCTGTTTGTTTGTTTACGACTCTGCGTTATTGTGCAACGGGAACAGTCGTTTCCAATCAGCCCGCGGTTCCCGGGCTGCGCAGCCGTCGCGGCCCCCGCCGGGCGGGTTGACGAGGGGTGACAATGGCCTGCGAACAGATTGGGCAGCGCGGCCCGGGCAACGGCGTCGCGGCCCCACCCCGCGCGGCCCAGGTGGTCCCCCTCCCCCGAGTGGGCGGAAGCTCCGAGGTGGGGAGAGCATTGGCTAAACAGAACCCTGAGCCCCGCGACCTCCTCTCGAGTGGCTTTTCCTGCTGAACTTCTGCGGCCTGGGGTGGCAGCGTCGCTTTCCTGGCTCCCGAGGCCCCGCTGCCCGGGCGGACCCGTTCCCAGTGAAAATGGTGATGGTGATGCTGCCTGTCCGTCACCGCATTCTCCTGGGGCCCGGGGACAGAGTTAAGCATTTTCCCTATTCCTGCTTCCATTCTGCGGGCTTTGAACTGAGGTCACCACGAAACCTAAAAGTACAATCCAAGAAAGGAAGAGTTTAGAAGTTAAGATTTGGGACATTTTAGCACAGAGCTTGCTGCGACGTCTGTGTCCCCACAAACCCTGGGACCCGGGTCCTTGGACCAACACTGCCATCTGCTGGTTACACTGGAGAACTGCAACGACCCTCTGCGGGGAATGGGCTTCGCGGAGATTCTAAAAAGTCTGGCTTCCGGAAGATGCATTTGTCGCCGGGTAGGACCAAGTGAAAGAAGATGACTAGTTTTCTTTTCCCACGAAGCTGCAAGCATCGTTGGGCTGACAACATTTATTTTGTGGACCTTTGTGTAGTTTTTCGCCTCAGTTGTTAATCCTTTGCCCTTATGTAATAAGCAGGGCGCTGACATCTGGATATTTCTGAAGGTGCTTGCATTTCCCTTTATGAGTGAAGTCCCAGTGTCGGGGGTTTGGTGATCTCGAACTTGAGTGTACTACAAGCTGCTACACCTAAGGTTGTCCCATTAGGAGTCACACCAGTTTGGTGACAATCAAAAGGAAGTGTCGTTTTAGTCTCCCGTTAAATCTGGTGCAGGGAGAACAGAAAGGTTTATGAGCTCAGATCGTCCCATAAAATGCTCCCGTAAAAATACTCCAGCCCCCACCCATCACTGGAATGTCTAATGGAGCTCAGGGAGATCAAAACAACAAAACAGGCTCTGGTGGGGTGCAGATCCTGGTAAACACAGCCTCTGTGAGGTTGCCACCAGTGTAGACCAGCATTTGGATTGCCTGGGCTGAAGTTACAAGCCTGAGTAGAACATTTGTCACAGGGAAAAAACAGGATATGTAATTTTCACAGTTAGAATTAACTTAGGAGAGCTGAAATTAACTGAACCTCGGAAATCTGAATCTTGAAGTCGGCAGTGGCTTTGGGAGGGTGAGAGAGTCTCCTGTGGCCTTTAATCAGGCCAGGGTGGGGTGAAATTCAATCTCCAGTGGCTGTGCATCAGGCTGCATTGTGCAGCTGGTGATCCGGACGCTAGCTCTCTGGCTCGATGAGAAGCATGTCGTGCTCTTATGTCTGGAAATTGCTCTGGCATTGCTGGCTCTCTGGTGACTCTCCGGTTTAGCACGTTGTCATTGGTTATAGAGTCTTGCTTAATGGCTCTTCACTTGTTTGCAAGAACAGAGATGGCAACCTGTTAGTGGCTGCAAACAGATTTGTTTCTCTGTTGATGTGACTGTATCTATTGGTTCAACTTAAAATAGTCTTGATAGCTACACCAGGCCGTCACTGGATCTGAGCTCATATCTGCTTCCGTATCACACAGGTGACGCAGGGCAAGTCGAACGGCCTCTGGGGCCTGACTTTCTCAGCAGGTAGAAGTTGAAGTAGCCACTCTGAGGTCCCTCTCATCTAAAACATCTGAGGAGTCTGCAGAAAAAGAGTCAGTATGAAAACCAGTAGCTGCAGTTTCTGAAGCACTTTCAGTTAAGCTCTGTAATTTAGTTTTTACAATATTGCAGTGAGGCGGGCCATGAAGTCAGGTATTACTAGTCCCGGTTTACAGACGAAGAGACTGAGGTTCAGAGCGATGAACTTGTCAGATATGGGATCAGAGCCTAATCCGTTGTGATTTCCATCATATCTTTTGAAAGAAGGAATGAGAAGGACAAGAGAATGGTGGGACAGAACCACAAGTCATTTGCCTGAGAATGGACGTGGCAGAGGTCTCTTCCCCGTCTGTTTCTCTCACTTGTGGCAATGCTTTTTGAGTTGTGATTATAGGGTATTGAGACTGAAGTCCAACGTATAGTTGGCATGAGAAAAATGATGACGGTTTTTTAAAAAAAGCTTTGGATGAAGTCCATTGTTCCCCTTTGCAAAGTGGTTTGTTCTTGTTGACTCATGACATGCCATGTTTCTCTGAATTTGTAACCTCGATTACTTATATTTGCGCATCTGACTTTTGGATAAGCTCCAGGATTTGGGTGACTGATTAAGGATGAGCGTTTACTCCCAGAGTAGAAAAGAGTGGGCAATAGCAAGATGGACTGCTAAGAGGCTCACTACAGGGCCAGGAGGCAGAGAAGCCCCCATGCTCTCCCGTTGTTTTCCATCACGTCTCTGTAGGACAAACGCTGCGATTATTCAAGAGTAAATTGTCTGAGTTACAGATGAGTAATGACATGAAACTTCACAAATGCGCCTGGATTTCCAGCCAGGGAACCACTCTTATCAGAGAAGGGAGTTTGAAATCTTAAGCAAACACATGTTGATACTCAGGGTTCGCATCATTATCGCTCGCTCTGAGGCCCTGTTTTCATTGCCCACTTTGAATGTCAGTAAATAATCCTCCCTGGCAGCGGGTCCACCCTATCTGGATGCACAGAAGGAAATCTGGTGGGGCCTGGCCAGAGCAGAACGCTCCTCAGAGCCTGCCCTCGAAGAGCAGCGAACCCCTCTCTCAAGCTTGAGAACGCTTTAAAGATGCATCGTTGGCAAGCCCTGCTGGAGAAATAAGGGATATAAATGTGATAAAACCCAAGACATCAAGCTGGCTCTGGAGGGCTCCTTTGAAGTTTGCTAAGTGGATTATCGGTGGGAGGCTGATATTTATATGTACAAACACACAGGCTGTTACCGCTAATTGTGGTAAATCAGCCTGGCCAGCCTGGCTCTGGGGCCCGCTGTGCCCGTCACCGCAGCAGTGGGGAAACCTTGCATCCCGGGCACATGCCAGGACCCGCAGACCCTGTCAGCCAGCCCTCATTGTGCAAATTGCATTTGTGTTCACAGCACTGCAATTGTGCTTCTCACTATGGTGAGCAGAGAAGGAAGGCAGGGCCCCAATTTGCATTAGGAAATAGTTCTGGGTGGGGGAGAGGGGGACACACACACAAGGCTGAAACACCGACCTTCCCTTGAGAGAGACCATATGGTGGATTGGAGAGAGCCTGGCTTTTGCATCACACAGGCTTCGTGTTAGAATCCTGTCTTAACCACCAGCTGTGTGACTTCGGATTGTTTGCTAAACCTTTCTGAGCCTCAACCGGCATGTCTTAAAATCAAATATGTCACAGGTTTATCATGAACAAACACAGCATACCCATGAAAACTTTGGCTTAGTAAATATTGCTTTCTCATTCCTGCCTTGGAGAAAACAAAATTCTCCTTTTGTCCTGTCCAACCCACCCCGCTCCCTGTTACCAGCACTCCCGTCTTTCACTCCGCCTTTCTTCCTCCTCCATTTCCTGGTAGAATTCAATGAAGCAGAAATCTGATTTCCACAAGTAAGCCACCTTGCTGCCTTAAAGCAAAATTACATGATTAGGCTCCACCAAAACTAGGAGGCTACTATCTACTGGATCTTCTCCAACCAAAAAAAAAAAAAGGGAAAAAAACGAGGGTTAAACGCAGGCATACATTGAATTTCTCCTTTTTTGTTTTGTTTTTTAGACAGTTTACTCAAGAGTCATGTACACACATCTTAGTTTCCAAAGTCAGAGGTGGAACAAATTAAGACTCATTAGCTCACTCCGTTGCATGAGTTGGGCTTTTGAGCAATGCAGTTCATCTAGGCTGACGCCTAGGTGACTTTTTATGGGTTGTCTTAAAAGCTTGCGTCCCTGCCAGGCCCCTCAGTGGGGCCTCTTCTATTGAAACTTAGCGCTCAGTGGCCCCAACACCCGCATTTACAGTTCCTTTTCATTGACTTCAGTGAGATGACTTTATCAGTGACCTCATGTGAGCCTGTCGAGGGTTGACCAGAATGGACTCTTCAGTGGTTTTTCTGCAGGGCAAGATGGGCCCCTCTTTAGTTTTTCCCTCCTTTAATTTTCCTTATCCTCCCTTCCCTTCTTCTTCCCCTCTGTGTTCCCTGTTTGTGTCTTATAGACATTCATTTTCAATCTCTCTCTCTACTTCTCTTCCATTCCTCAGATTTTGTTGCAGGAAATCAGATCGAGCACGTGGTTTCTGCAGTACCGTTAACCTTAACGTGAAAACGAGTCGTCAGTCTCCATCACGTTGTATCCTGTGGTCTACTGTGTCCCTTGAGACACAGGAATGTAGCCACACTTTCCTCTCCCATTTCGCCTCCCTTCACTTTCTCTGCTGCCCCTCCTTCCAGGCCTGTGCCCTGGGCTTTCCAGCCTCCTTTAGCGTGACTGTGAGTGTAGCAGGTCCTAGGAGAACATGGGCTGGGAGCCCAGGCCTGAGACTGAGACGGGCCTGTGTATCACGGAGTGACATCCTTTAAGTGACATTTGTCAGTGGGACTTTCACAAACTCCAGATTAAAATGACTCTTAAATATTAAGATATTTGTTGGAGCCAAGTATCTTTTCCAAAGGTTGTAGAAGATGTGACCTTCATGTACTTTCTGTAGTGAAACACGAAGCAAATGACAACCCATTTTGAGCAAAAACAGCTCAAAGTTTGAAAGTTGAGTGAATACGTATGTTTATTTGTTTTTCACATTCTTAATTTAAATGGTTTAAAAGGAACAGTCCTTCTGTACTCTTGGACACATTCCAAGACAGTAAAGTGAGACTTTTTGGAATTTGAAAGCTGCATGCAATCAAAAAGGGTTTCAGCTTCAGATGGCTCCTGTCATGATCTTGGGGTCCATCCAGGCCATCTGATTCTTTCTTCTTAGGCATCTTACTGTTTTAACCATGAATCTTAAACTGGATGTTTTTGACTACAGTGATGCTATTAACATTTCCATAGCGCAAGCACACAGAGAACTAGGCTCATGGTTGTTTTACTGGCTAACACTATTTCTGTTTGACTTTTTACTTTTCCAGTTTTCCAGAACTATGGGGACTTCCCATTGGGCCCTCCTGGTCTTAGGCTGTCTCCTCACAGGTATGGATCCCAGTCCTCTCTGAGTTCATTGTCCTGGGGGAAGCCTGGTTTTCTAAGTTCTGTGTTCTGGGGGTGTATTTCCTGTACTCTGCACACACCTTCCAAAAGAGTGAAAAGAAGTAGAAAATTATAGGATGTTATCCAGTGGGACCACAAACCTTCAGTTCCCTTTGCACTAATTCCATTTCAAAAAGAATGCTCTCCAGTGGCAATGTTGGCATGTATATAATCCTGACATTAGAATGTTGTTAGGAATAATAGTCTAAATTCGCCCTCTACCCTCTTCTACTTCCAGGGATATAGATTTCCAGTAGAGGTGGATCAGAGAAATTCAAGAATGTCCAAAGGAAATAAATAATGGAAAATTCTTTTCTTGGAAATCATACCTGTCTTAAGTCATACCTGTCTTAAGTGGAAGATGCTTAAATTGCTGGAAAATCTTAGAGCCACCTTTTCCCTTGGAATCTGATTGATAGAATATTTGACTCTTGAAGAATCTTACTCTCTTCCACCAGGAGGATGCTGCTGGGGCCATTTGTGGAAATATTTATTGGACTGGCTTAGTTTTCCTCTAGATATTTATGCATTGCAGATGTTCACCATGAAACCAATGTTTTTTTAGTCTGAGGAGTTAACTTAAACCTATTAGTGACTTTAGTCTTATCTCCATGGATATGGTAGAATTGAGCAAGGTCAATGATTTATTAGTTTTAAACCCCTCTAAATATACCCCATCTACAGTATGATAGTGGTGCAGATACATTCGAAGCTTCTCTCTTAACAAACTGCAGGAAGCGTAGCAAGCACATATTGGAGTTGGGTGGGATTCCCAAATCGGGCTCCGGGGGAGATAAGAGACCATGAATTAATAATTAACTAAGTTCTAATATCTGTTCTATCAGTTTTATAGACAGGGGAAGCTAGACTGAAATTTTAGGTTCTAAGATGAAGTTAGAGTTTTCACTCTAGGGCTTGACTTATTCTTATTTTTGAATGAAAATCCACATCGTCCTGCCTTGGTTTCTGGAAGTCATTAGAGAGGATGCATGCCAGGGTGTTGTAAGAAAGGGAAGACGCGTAATTCTTGAGCACAAATCTGCTTTGTGCTCTGTTCGGTCCGTCTCCCTTCCCCTGCTCTCATCCCGTTTCTTACTGAGAGAAACCTCTGCAGGGAATGTGGACGATAAAGAACCCATATGTATCAGAGCCTATGCCATCTTGGGATAGTTTATGGTCACACATAAGAGTCTAAAATATGGAATTGGAATCAGACGTCCTCTATCCATCTGAGTGTTTGGAGGAGTGACTCTGGGGGGACTAAGGGGGCTATTCAGGCTCTTGGAGCATTTGCTGCTCTCAGCAGATGCGGTGGCTGTTATAATGGGGGGCCTTTCATGGGCTTCTAGGCTAACGGATTTTTGCGTAGAAATGGCCGTTGTTCATATAAGCTGCTACTGTCGCTTCTCTCAGTTCTCTGGGTGAGACCGTCCCTTCTGGTGGCATCCTATTCAGAGCATGTTTCCTTTTACAGGGCCGAGCCTGAGCCTCTGCCAGCTTTCATTACCCTCTATCCTCCCCAATGAAAATGAAAAGGTTGTGCAGCTGAACGCATCCTTTTCTCTGAGATGCTTCGGGGAGAGTGAAGTGAGCTGGCAGTACCCCATGTCTGAAGAAGAGAACCCTAACGTGGAAATCAGAAATGAGGAAAACAACAGTGGCCTTTTTGTGACGGTCCTGGAAGTGGTCAGCGCCTCAGCGGCCCACACAGGATTGTACACTTGCTATTACAACCACACGCAGACAGAAGAAAGCGAGATTGAAGGCAGACGTATTTACATCTATGTGCCAGGTGAGCTGGAGGGGTCCCCTGGACCACGCTCGTTGTCGTCCTCTGTCTCCCGTTAATTTTATTAAAGCTTTTTTAAAATATAAAAATAATAAGTATTTATTGGAGAAAAACCTGAAAAATTCAGAAGATACAAAATTAAATCAAGATTATTTGGGATGTCATTATCAAGAAATGTTCACTGTTAACATTTTGGAACTGTATTAAGTTTTGAAAATCATTTTTATTATGGCGTGTCTTTTATTGGCATTGTGCGAAAAATCTGAAATGTACTCATTTCTATTCAGTTCAATCAAGTTCAGCAAATATTTACTGTGCATTGACTATGTGTCAGGCACAGTGCTAAGTGGTGGGGACACAAAAGTTAATTAGGTAGGCTCTATCTTGGAGTTGCTTATAGTTCATTATAATAGCTTCTCAAGAACCATGCTGTTTTTCAGATTTCAATAAAACATATATTTACTCTTGATGAATTCGAAGGGATTTTTTTTCTTTTTAATTAAAAGTTCAGGGCAAATCCTGTACTAATGATGTTGTCTCCTTTCCTCTGAGAAGCAGATGCCAAGATAGGAGTAAGATGGGATTAGCTGTGCAAGGGTTTTATTAGGGGACAGGCCTATGAGAGAAAATGGGGAGGGATCCAGCCGAGGCTGGGAGAGCCATCTGAGTGTTTGGTGAGTGTAATCCTGAGTGAAGGAGAGAGGGAAGGAAGGTGGGTTGATGAGGCCTAGACCTCTGTGTAAAGAAGGTCTGGGAATCCTCCAGCCTAAGGAACCCCAGTTCCACACTGTCATTGGCTGGAAGCATCCCTGGAGGGCGTGGCCTTGGGTTGTGATGGATTTCAGAGCCGCCCTTGTAGCTGGAGGAATGTGTGGTGCTTTCTCATAGCAGCCACCCTGATTGACTAGGCTTAGCCCTGAACTTGAGATGCATTTGGTCTACCACCCACCTAGCATTCCCTGTGCACTGCTTTGTAATGATCTGTGTCTATATCTGTACCTGTATCTATATCTGTATCTGTATATATTGGCTTCTACTGAGGGCAGTTGTTAAAAGGCCCATGATGTTGTTTAAACATTGCATAGCTGGTACATGATGGTAGGGAAGACTTGCATTTTAAAGGAAGCCCTGGCTGATGTGTTATATATATCAAACTGCATATTTTAACCTGAAATGAACTTGCAGCTTTATTTGCTGGAAGCTTTGCTGACAGAGTTCAAGAATTTGGAACTTTAAACACAAATTCAAGTAATGACAATTTTATTATGCAGATGGAGCAATTGAAGCGAGCCACAGCTAGAGGACTTATGCAAACCATTCACAACTCTCGCCATCCTTGTTGTTTTGGCCGAGATAGAGTAAGGGGGTTTCTTAAGTATATCTTCCTGCCTTTCTGCCTTTTCTTTTTAAGTTTTTCTTTTTTGTGAGGAAGATCAGTCCTGAGCTAACATCCAAGCCAATCCTCCTCTTTTTTTTTTTTTTTTGCTGAGGGAGACTGGCCCTGAGCTAACATCTATTGCCAATCCTCCTCCTTTTTTTCCCTTTTTCTCTCCAAGCCCCAGTAGATAGTTGTATGTCATAGTTGCACATCCTTCTAGTTGCTGTCTGTGGGATGCCGCCTCAGCATGGCCAGATAAGCGGTGCGTGGGTGCCCGCCTGGGATCTGAACCCGGGCCGCCAGTAGCGGAGTGCGAGCACTTAACCGCTAAGCCATGGGACCTGCCCCTTAAGTTTTTCTAATTGACTCCTTGTCCTGCCCTCTGTACCTATGGGTGTCCACGAATCTAGACCCTCCTCACTTCTTTCATGACACTCTGATCTGGATGAACCTTCCTTCCTAACAATAAAACGTTTTGTTTCAAAAGGGTAGATATTTAAAATGTCACCTCCGCTTCATTCACACCTAAGTGCCCCCCTGCTGTGCAGAGAATGGTAGGAATGTAGGTTTGTTAAGGTACATGATTCCTGGAGTTTTGATCTGCCTGAGATTGTCCAAAAATTCTTGTTCCTCTGACCCCCAGCACAAACACCATCCAAGACAGGCCCTGTACGCTTGCCAGACAGTTAGTCTTTTCATTTGCAATAGTGGAGAGTAAGGGGCCCCTTCTGAAACCAATGCTTGAGACAATCAGTACTTCTTACCAGAGTAGCTTAAGTAGCCAGTTCTCTTTTGAAAAGGAAGTTCTCAGACTATAGAATTAAAAATTTTATTTATTACTTGAGAGATTATTCTTTAATAGGTTTCTGTACTACTTTTCAGTAATACTGACTGTAGGCCATAGGAATTTTTTCTTTTTTTTTGTGAGGAAGATCAGTCCTGAGCTAACATCTGATGCCAATCCTCCTCTTTTTTTGCTGAGGAAGATTGGCCCAGGGCTAACATCCACAGCATGGCTCGAAAAGTGGTGCATTGGGATCCGAACCTGCGAACCCCAGGCCGCCAAAGTGGATCGTGCACACCCAACAGCTGCACCACCAGGGGCCATAGGAATTTTTAAAAGAAGCATTTCATAATTTAAAAATTATGAATTTTTCTCGTTTTGAACAGAGTTGATTATTTTATTGTCCATTTTTTGTTTTTAGTAGTTGTTTATTTATTTATTTTTTTTGGTGAGCAAGATCAGCCCTGAGCTAACATCCATTGCCAATCCTCCTCTTTTTTGCCAAGGAAGATTGGCCCTGGGCTAACATCCGTGCCCAACTTCCTCTACTTTATATGGGATGCCACCACAGCATGGCTTGACAAGCGGTGCGTTGGTGCGAGATCTGGGCCTCTGAAGTGCGTTGGTGCGAGATCCGGGCCTCTGAAGTAGAGCACGCGCACTTAACTGCTTGCGGCACCAGGCTGGCCCCTAGTAGTTGTTTAAATGTTGATTTCAATTCCTATATTCCCAATATAAATATTTATATTTATCATCAGTATTTTTTTTATTAGGGTGCAGGCAATTTGGTATTGTTCTTGCTTTAAAATTACCTTCTAGCTGTTATGATGACTAATGTCAATGGGGTGATGCTTCTGGATGTATGTGTGAAGGTAAAACTCACACCTGATGTCATCAGTGCCAATGGGATAATAATGTGTGTAAAGGTGAAATTAATGCCTAATACGTTTTTCTTTCTTTTTCAAACCACAGACCCAGATGTAGCCTTTGTACCTCTAGGAATGACAGATTATTTGGTCATCGTGGAGGACGATGATTCTGCCATCATACCCTGTCGCACCACTGATCCTGAGACTCCGGTGACCTTACTTAGCAGTGACGGGGTGGTCCTCGCCTCCTATGACAGCAGACAGGGCTTTAACGGAACCTTCAGCGTCGGGCCCTATATCTGCGAGGCTACCGTCAGAGGGAAGAAGTTCCAGACCATCCCATTCAACGTTTATGCTTTAAAAGGTACTTGTACTCTCCCCCTCCTTCCTTAAATGAGAGTCATAAGCAAAATAGTCAGATGCATGTAGGATGTTTTCTTTTATCAGAGTCCCTGGTGATGGAGACCCTGAATCTTTGGGGATTCAGGACTCCCCCTTTACCGTACAATGTTGGGCTGACCTCTGTGGCTGTAATCATATGAAGCTTATCATTATGGAAGGCAAAACCTTTCTCACCCCTGTAAGATTTCGTGTTTCACCAGTTAACTTCAAAATACTGTAAGGAATTCTTTTTTTGCATAAGCCTCTTATTGTTTTACTCACATTCCTGACTACAGAGGCTCTAAAAACAAAAACACACCTGTGGAGGTTGGATGCCTAGATTAACTTTATAACTTAAGAAAAGTGATTTCGATTTTAAGAAAAGCTTGTAGTTGTAGACTTCATCCCTTTGATGTGAGTGGCTAATGTGAAGGGGAAAATATAATCCATGTTCAGGTCAACAGACTTATTGAACAGTTCCATGTAGGTGTGGCAGCAGCCACCTGTGCCATTAACTCTCATGAGGGGCTTATTTTATGCCAGGCACTGTGCTAGATTCTAGAAAAGTACTGAGAATAAGTGGGGAGCAGAGTGGGAGAGAGGAGGAGAATAAGTGATGAGAGAGGAGCAAAGTACTTGGAGGAGAGCAGGTGAGGAAATGTTGGTTGATTGAATGAATAAATATGTCAGTAAAGGTGATTGCAGAAGAAGACAGCCACAGTTAACCCAAGTGCTCAGGAATGTAGTGTTCTATTTTTTTTTTTTTTATAATTTTTTATTTACTTATTTTTTTTCCCCCAAAGCCCCGGTAGACAGTTGTATGTCATAGCTGCACATCCTTCTAGTTGCTGTATGTGGGACGTGGCCTCAGCATGGCCGGAGAAGTGGTGCGTCGGTGCACGCCCGGGATCCGAACCCGGGCCGCCAGCAGCAGAGCGCGCGCACCCAACCGCTAAGCCAGCGGGCCAGCCCCTGTAGTATTCTATTTAATTGGAATTTATTTTTACTGTTGTTATTATTTTGTGTGTGTGTGTGTGTATGGTATTTTGTGTTATAACTACATGAAAAATTATGTATGTCAACACAAAATCAAGGCTTCTGAGATTTTCAAAATTTTATCTTGATCAAAGTGATTTGCCAATTATTTTTCAGGATTTTCTTAAAAAACAAAAACAAAAACCCAAACCTATAAGATCCTAACTCTACTATGGATATTTAGGTCCTTGTGTTTGTTCTTTTTTTAATAGCAACATCAGAACTTGATCTAGAAATGGACGCTCTTAAAACTGTATATAAGTCAGGGGAAACGATTGTGGTCACCTGCGCCGTCTTTAACAACGAGGTGGTTGACCTTCAGTGGACTTACCCCGGAGAAGTGGTAGGTACCCTTGAGGCTCCTGGTGGAGTAGAGTGGAGCACAGCAGGGCTCAAAAGACCTGCCACTGGTGGGGCATGTCACCAAGATTCCCATCTCTACAATGAGCACATTTGACTAGATGACTTTATGGCTCTTAAAGCAATGGGAGAGTTTGAGATGACCATAGCTGGACCAGGACCTTCAGAATGTGTAAACACTGTACACCGAGGCTTCTTTTTCATAAGTCACAAAGAAATAGGAAGGCTCTATGGCTACAAGATAACAACCCCAAAATTAGAAAAGCAAATAGCGAATGGACTTTAAAATTTGCTAATTGCTGAGAGAGTCAAAATTCTCATTTTCTTGGCTCCCATGCCTTTGGGTTTTGAGGCATTTGATAATGTGATTGCCTGCCCCTCATTCTGTTTCTGCTTTACTGCCACCCCGGACACCATTCTGCCTCCTCCCTGCCTGATCTTTCTTTGCATGGCTCACGTTCAGTGAACAGGCCTAACGTGAATCCTTCAGCAAAGACTGAGTGATGTTGCTAAATCCCAAGCACTCTGCTAGAAGCTGGCCCGTGCACAGAGGAGGGAGAAGGGAGGGGTGGAGATGGAACTGAGGAAAGGGGGCCACGTGCCGTCTCTGGTTGCTGGGGATTTACACACCAGGTCTCATTCATTCTAATGCATTATGGTGAGCGTGTAAGAGTACCGGGTGTGAAAGGCTGTGACGGTCCAATGCAGAAATGATTAACAGTGCTTAATACAGCGGCCTCAGGGAGAACAAAAACCATATATATATTTTTCCCTTCACTCTTGATTTGCAAATTTCTGCTCCCTGCTCTTTCTGGCATTTGATGGCTTCTCTCCTTTTATGTGTTTCTCTCCAGCATAGTTTCACAGCCGCTCTTCCTTTCTCTCTGGGAGCATCTAACTGCAAGTTGGGCATTTTCATATATTGCCTTATGAGCCTCATTCATAGTCTAATACATGTATGTTTCCCTGAAATATGAAGCTCTTTGATCTTTATGTTCCTACTCCACTGCTTTTAATCCTTAAAATATAAACATTTCATTTATTGAAGATCGATTTTTTTCCCCTCAAACTGGAGTAAATGCTATTTGGCCCAAAGATATGTAATCAAAGTATTGTTTTATAAAACACATTTTTTTGTCTGATAATAAAAGTAAAGCAGGTTTATTGTTGTAACTTTATAAAGTTTAGAGAAACAGAGGAAAAGCCATTTCCCAGAGCATCACTGTTAATATTTTAGGGAGATAAATCCTTTAAATACTTTGTATACATAGATAAATGTAATAATTAATAGGTATTATACTGTAAATAGTACTTTGTTATATCCTTTTTCCTTTGGCAGTATTGCACAAACTCCTTACTATGGCATTAAATATCCTTTTAAAACATTTTCTTTTTTTTTTTTTTTTTTTTTTTTTTTAAAATTTTTTTTTTTTTTTTTTTTTTTCCCCCCAAAGCCCCAGTAGATAGTTGTATGTCATAGCTGCACATCCTTCTAGTTGCTGTATGTGGGACTCGGCCTCAGGATGGACGGAGAAGTGGTGCCTCGATGCGCACCCGGGATCCGAACCCGGGCCACCAGCATTGCAGCGTGCACACTTAACCACCAAGCCACAGGGCCGGCCTAAAACATTTTCTAAGGAGCTGGATTTTTAAAAAATTTTCTTTTATTAGACTTGATTTTTTAGAGCAGTTTTAGGTTCATAGCAAAATTGAGTGGAAGGTACGGAGATTTCCCATGTAGCCCCTGCCCTCATGCATGCACAGCCTCTCTGGTATCAACATCCCCACAGGTGGTACGTTTGTTACAATGAGGAACCTACACTGGTGCATCATCATCACCCACAGTCTGTAGTTTACATGAGGGTCACTCCTAGGAGCCAGCTTTTTAAAGTCACTTTTCCTCCCTTCTGGCGTAGAAAGGCAAAGGCGTCACAATGCTGGAGGAAATCAAGGTCCCGTCCATCAAACTCGTGTACACCCTGACGGTCCCCGAGGCCACGGTGAAAGATAGTGGAGATTATGAATGTGCTGCCCGCCAGGCCACCAGGGAGGTCAAAGAAATGAAGAAAGTCACCATTTCTGTCCATGGTACATTCTACTTTCTAAAATATCCGTCGTCCACGCTGCTCGGGATCCACTGTGCGGTAATCACAATTTAATGGAAACTCTTCCCTGTACAGAGAAAGGGTTCATTGAAATCAAACCCAACTTCAGCCGGCTGGAAGCTGTTGACCTGCATGAAGTCAAACATTTTGTGGTGGATGTGCAGGCCTACCCACCTCCCAGGATATCCTGGCTGAAGGACAACCTGACTCTGATTGAAAATCTCACCGAGATCACCACCGACATAGAAAAGATTCAGGAAATAAGGTAAAGAAACACCCTTGCCAAGTATGCCTTTTCTTTTTATCGTGTATCCCTAGATAGACTGAGGTTTGTGTGTGTCTTACAAGCCAACCCAAGAGTCAGTCTAGAAAACTGAGCATCTGAGATAGGAGGAGATACTTGAAATCAAGTACCTTTAACGATAACATTGCAATATGGTGATAGTATGTTGGTAAGTATTTAGTGATAAAATAAGAAAAAAGAAGTGAAAAGCTCTGCTCTCAATGAAAGACAGGTTCCTGGGGCCGGCCCTGTGGCTTAGTGGTTAAGTGCGTGCACTCCACTGCTGGCGGCCTGGGTTGGGATCCCTGGCGTGCACCGACGCACTGCTTCTCCGGCCATGCTGAGGCCGCGTCCCACATACAGCAACTAGAAGGATGTGCAGCTATGACATACAACTATCTACTGCGGCTTTGGGGGAAAAAATAAATAAATAAAATTATAAAAAAAGGAAAAAAAAAGAAAGACAGGTTCCTGGATCCAGCCAGGGGTGGAAGAAAGAAAGTAAAATTGGATCCACTTGGATTGAATATATTCCTTGATATCCATCCTCCATGTTGCAAGTAGACGTGTACGTGATTCCAGTTGCAAAGCATTTGTCATATAAACCTATAAGAAACAAAACTTCATTGGCTTTGAAACATTTGCCTCCACAAATGAGGCCTCCACAGGAAACGAGTAGTTTCTGATTAAATTTGGTTAGGAGAGAACCAGTGAATAGTTTGGATCCCTGCCCTCTGATGAGATGGTAGACTGCTCTCATCTCTTAACCAGCGGTAGAGTTTTGGGTAATTCACCCCTCAGCCTCAGTTTCCTCATGTATAATGTAGGGTTCATAATACCTTATGTCCTTCAAGGCAAGGATTTGGGTCAAATGATATTTTAAGGACTCTTGCAGTTTTGAGCTCTGATTAGAATCCAAGAGCAGAAGGTACATTTTGAAGGGCTGAGCTAATCCAGCTCTGCGTCCTTGACAGACCAACCCAGAGGGACAAAAATCAGTCCTCTATTTCAAGCCTTCAGGGAAGAGGAGACAGAACCTCTCTCATCAGTTCACTTAACCTCAGGACTTGCTGTCTTCTTTCTGAACTAAATTCCTCGTGTAATTGAGAAGTGGTGTCTGAGAAAATGGCATTTTACGACTTCCGTAGAACAGTGACAGAAAAAGAAGTGGAATACTGAATCTGGAGGGCTCTCTGAGGACGTGAAATGAAGGTGCACAAAGACGTGGGCAGTGCCGGGCCCTCCACCAGGCTGTGAGGCCAGAGAGGAGTGGGGTAATCCTGGCACAGCCCACCCTTCAAACACTTTGTGAGCACTATCTGCAAGCTGTAATCATTAGTCAGGACAAGACAAGGCTCCCCAAATGAGTGGTTAGGAAAGCCGCTTCTTACCGTGATTTGAGAGTTCCTCCTGCGTGTATTCTTCGAGTTCTCATTATGGCCAGGGAACATAAGAATGAACACAGTGGAAGGGGTATCTGGCTTCCTGGAGTTTAGAAGTAGTGGCTCCACCGGCTTTCTTGGCTGAACAGGTGTAGAAAATGAACCACAGAAGATCGTGTGGTAATCAGCACCAGGTGTGGGGCAGCTGAGGGAAACCAGCCCAGCGTGCTCTCAACCCACGTCCTAGTGCCTGACATCTGGGGCTAGAAGCCTACATCTGCAGGGTACTTCTGAGCCTACAAAATGCTTTCACACAGATAATTTCATTGAATTAATTCTCAGAATGACTCTATGCTCTACATACAGTTAGCCCATGCTACAAGTAAGGAAACTGAGGCATGGAGAATTTCAGTGGTGCCCCGGGTCCTCTCTGCATGACCAGGGCTCCCTGTCTCCGCGCCAGTTGCTTTTCCACACTGTGATGTTTTATAAAGAAGGACAGTGGAATGGGCAAATCCTTTGTTGACGTGCGTACGCACACACAGACACACACACACATGTGCGTGGCCAAATGTCATTGTTAATGTGTGAGAAATCTTTTGGGGAAACTTCCCTTTAATATATGAAGAAATATATTTTTCTAATTTATTTTTTTCACTAGCTTATGGAATCCTGTGCTTTAAAAACATTCAAACATAGAGAAGGTGCATTGTAAGAAGCCTTACTCCACACCTGTCCCCATGTGCCCAGATCCCTCATCCTCCCCACCCACAGGGAAATACTTTTATTACTTTCATTAGGTTCTTATGAAACCTTCCAGAGTTTCTTTAAGCAAATACAAGCAGATAGGAATGTTGTATCCTGGTGACCTCTCCGTATCAATACATAGTGTTCTCATTCTTTCTTCCAATGGTGTTCCATTGTTTGGCCGAACCATCTAAATGATGGATATTTAGGGGAAGGAAGTATTTTTTTTAAAGGTAAAAATTAAAGGTTTAAAAAAAAAAAAAGGAAAGTTGGGATGTGTTTATTTCCATTCAGAAGTCAGGCCTGACCACAGCTGATTGTTCCTGTAGCCACATAAGTCATTGCTCATCTGAAAACGTCTGGTCTTCTGTTTAAGAATTAAGTGTCTACAACTCAGACCTTCAACATGTAGAAAGTGACATATTGAAAATCCCAGAAAAGCGATGATACCGACAAGAAAAAAAGATATTTTTACTTTTTACAAAAATATTTTTTTTTATAATTTTATTTATTTATTTATTTTCCCTCCAAAGCCCCAGTAGATAGTTGCATGTCATAGTTGCACATCCTTCTAGTTACTGTATGTGGGACGCGGCCTCAGCATGGCCGGAGAAGCGGTGCATTGGTGCGCACCCGGGATCCGAACCTGGGCCGCCAGCAGCGGAGCGCGCGTACTCAACGGCTGAGCCACGGGGCCGGCCCCTACAAAAATAAAGTTTAAATTGAACATGGTAGTTGCTTAAACAATTGAAATTTATTTGGCTACTACTTGCTGAAACAAAGTCCTTTTCTTTTCAGGTACCGAAGCAAATTAAAGCTGATCCGTGCAAAGGAAGAAGACAGTGGCCATTATACCATTGTAGTTCAAAATGAAGATGATGTGAAGAGCTATACTTTTGAACTCTTAACTCAAGGTATGTGAGGGCAGTATAAAGATCTGACTAGCTCAGTGAATGAGTGTCTCCCAAGAAGAGCCTGGCACTTTTCTCCCAGGTCATTGGAGGGAAAAGCAATGCTTTTGGGGAGAAGCAGGGACTGGAGATGTCACATGTCAGGGATAGCTTTGTTGGACTTGTGAATTCACATAATTCTGGGAGGTTCCAGGCTACTCTAGAACAGTCTGGGACTTCCTAGGCTCCGACAGCTTCCTTACCATCTGTTTTCTCAATCTGGCACCTCTATTTCTGGGAAGAGTGGGATGGTACTTTGGTCCAGATGACCTTAGGTTGTTCCAGAGAGTTTTGGCCTTTTTGCTTAGTTTCCCTTGTAGACATTGCACAGTGGCCTTACCAGAAAGGAGTGCCCAAGTCTATTCACACTCGGGGTCGGCACCTATTCACTGAGTACTTATCACGTGCTAAGTACTGTCTCGGGGGGGGCTCATTTGACCCTCACAGTAAATCTGTGATAAAGGTATTAGTATATTTCTAACTTATTTGATCATAGATTTAAAAAAATCTTTAAAACCTACTAATATCCCACAGAAGCACAGTGGTAAATGATGCGGTAGGTTACACTTTAGCTGCATCCATTAGTTGAATCCCAAGCTATGATGTAATTGTGAGAGCCTCCTCGCCTTTCAAGCCAAATAACCACAGGGGCTTTTTGCTTTCCTACTCCAGATTTAAAACACCACAAATCTCAAAACACTGAAACTGTGAAAATGCTCTTAACCAAGTGGGTCTGTCCAAACTGGAGTGTGATTATGCGCACAACTGGTTTCAGCCCCCTCTCGGGTGGTTACTTGATCTGTGGGTTTGAATGCCACGTGGACCAGTTCTGAACTCATATTCCAGTTGGTAGTTCTGGGAAGTTCTGGGACAGGAACCCCTCAATTCTGAGTTCTTCCTGCCTCTTGCAGTTCCCTCATCTATTCTGGACTTGGTCGACGACCACCATGGCTCTACTGGGGGACAGACTGTGAGATGCACAGCGGAAGGGACACCTCTGCCCGACATTGAGTGGATGATTTGCAAGGATATTAAGAAGTATGGAAACCAGATGTTCCTTTTTCATTTGTGGTCAGAATGTTTCTTCCTTGACGCAAAGCACTTCAAATGCATTTTATTTCTTTTGCTGGCCTTTTTTTTGTATTTGATTCTTGTTTGGCCTAAGTCTCATAAACTTATCAGAACAAGATAGGGTTCTGAACAGGGACCTTGTGTGTGTGTGTGCGCGTGTGCGTGCATGTGTTCTTGTGTGTTCGTGTGTGGCTGTAAGGGGAAAGTCCCCGGCTTTCATCAGATTCTCAAAGGGTCTTTAATCCAAAAAGAAGATGAACCTAAAGAACTACTGCTATAAGAGGATTTTTATTACCTTGGCCCACATTTTCACCTCATGTTTCTTACATGGTGAACTGTATTTGGTGGCTAGACTGGCGTGTGAACATAAATGGAAACACTGCCCATGTGACTGCTCACTGCCTCATTTGCCTCCCTGTTTTTGGGTGAGAGTTAACTCACCAGTTCCTCCCTCATCCCCCATTCCTCAGCCTTCTCAAATGGGCACATGAGTGGCATGTTCGCACTTCCACCCATGGCGACTGGCTGTGTTCAGAAGCCTTGATTGTTTCTCCCAAAGCCTGACACTCCTAGACCTACCCCCTCCTAGGGCTAAGAGACTGGGACTGGATCTTGACTGGAGCTGAAATCTAGGTCTCATAACAGCCGGGGAATCTCTCCAACCCTAGTGACACCTTAGGGGCTCTTCACAGTGTGTGTGAGTGGAGAAGAAGGGGGGGGCACCAAGCCTTTTTGAAGGGGTGGGAAATGGGGATAGTTAAATAGTCTTGAAATTGAACTTTTCAGTTTGCTTATGGGTTCAAAGCTTGAGTTTGGCAGTTATTAGATTGAATGTGTTTATCTCTGTCTTGCCTTCAGAAACAGTTAATTTTCAATTATCCACATGTAGGTTGTTCTCTTGGGTGTGTGCAAACAAGTTTTAATGTTAATTTGCACATAAAATAAGAAAATCAATCTGGAGCACCCCCAAGTGTAGGCAAGGTCAGAACTGCTCGCCGTCGTAGATAATTCTCACTGCCCCACTCGCCTCCATTACTCCCGATAATTGGCTCTGTATGTCCTTTTTCTCTCCAGATGTAATAATGAAACTTCGTGGACGATTTTGGCCAACAACATCTCCAACATCGTCACGGAGGTCCACCCCCGAGACAGGAGTACCGTGGAGGGCCGAGTGACATTCGCCAAAGTGGAGGAGACCATTGCGGTTCGATGTCTGGCTAAGAATCTCCTTGGGGTTGAGAACCGAGAGCTGAAGCTGGTGGCTCCCAGTGAGTTGCTCTTCAGTCATCAGCTGAATCCTCTCTCCCTCAGGCGAAACTTTGAATCCCAGAGGAGTTCCTATAGGAATGAAGGTCCCAAGGCAGAAATTCAGCTCTGAATGCTCTTGAAGGGCCTTCTCTGGGCACCTGTGTGGCAGCCCTTTCTTTCCGATTCAGATCCAAAACTGCATCTGGCAGAGGCCCATCCGCATTTTGCTTGTCTAGCAGTAGAGCTACCCAGTAGAGCTACAGTCTGAGTGTGGAGATGGGGGAGAGGGAAGGAGGATCTTCTTGCTGCTCCTTACAGCAGTTGAGACAGATTGAATTCTTGAAAAAAAAAAAAGAAACCAATGAAGCCAAAAGCAATATAAACAAAATGCAACCTTTCAAACTAAACTGAACTTAAGTTTCTAAACTTACAGTAGCTCACAATCTCATTTATCAGTCTTTATTTTCCGACTCACCTTCTATCCAGAAGGTTAATGTTGGAGTACCTTTGGAGAAAGTATTGTGTTCCCAATTGAATTTTGTCTCTTTCTCATCTAAGGGAAGAGTTGGAGTGGTTTCATGTGTGTAGATAATTGAGAGATGGTATTGCGCATTCCAAAAATGCGCCAGGCAGCCCTCATGCTTCCCCCTAGTGGTGAGAGATTTCTGTCCCAGAAACAACTACCCTGCCTTGCTGCCCTCCTGCATGTGCATGCAAATTCTCCACCGTGCCCCTCTCTCTCTCGTCCTCTAGCTCTGCGTTCTGAACTCACGGTGGCGGCTGCAGTCCTGGTGCTGTTGGTGATTGTGATCATCTCACTTATTGTCCTGGTTGTCATTTGGAAACAGGTAGATATTTTCTCAAAGAGCTAAGAATCTTTGAAACCAATAAGAACCAATAGTTCAGTGCTTGGCACAGAGAAGAAGCTCAGTAATTGTGTGTTGAGTGAGCACTGTTGATTCCTACTGTGTCCAGTCACTGCTGCAGTAAAGCTCTGGTGTATTCGGACCTTGGTAATTCACCAATTCCCTGTCTGGCCATTTATAGAAACCAAGGTATGAAATTCGTTGGAGGGTCATTGAATCAATCAGCCCCGATGGACATGAATATATTTATGTGGACCCGATGCAGCTGCCTTATGACTCGAGATGGGAGTTTCCAAGAGATGGACTGGTGCTTGGTAAGCTCCTCCCAGGGTGGTCTCCCAAGGCTCCCCTTTTTGATTTGTACACGACTTTACTCTTTACAGGCCTGTGGAGGATAAGGGATCTGAGCTGGTGCTTAGTAAGAGTGAGGGAATAGAAATTGGCTTTCAGAAATATTTTTCTCTCTTGAAAATGAGTTCATTGGATCACTGCAATGAATGATTTTTTTTTTATCTCATTCCATAGCAAATTATAGTTAAAGAAAATTTTACAAAGGAAGAAGGGAATATGAGGAGGCCTGCCACTTCCGATTTGCTTTGGAAATGACACAAATAGAAAATGAGATGAATTTCTGTGACTAAAAAGAGCAGATGAGAAATGAATGAGGATAACCACAAAATATATTTTGAACATTTTATTTATTTATTTTTTTTCCCCCCAAAGCCCCAGTAGATAGTTGTATGTCATAGCTGTACATCTTTCTAGTTGCTGTATGTGGGACGCGGCCTCAGCATGGCTGGAGAAGCGGTGCGTCGGTGCACGCCTGGGATCCGAACCCGGGCCGCCAGCAGCGGAGCGTGCACACTTAACCGCTAAGCCACGGGGCCGGCCCTCAAAATATGTTTTGATCCAGTACATTCTGAGGCTGTATTAGATACTTCTTTAGAATATATATATATATATTTAGAATATAGAATATAAAAATTTAGGTACATTTTAAAGCAAAACGTGTAAAAATAATCACGCCAACTTATGACACACTTTTCAAATATTTCAATCTTGAGCTGAGACCAAGTACATGAAACTTTAGTCTAAGGGATTTTTTTTTTTTAATCATGTTTGAATGAGTGAAAACAGGACAAAGACAAATGAAAGTTAGAGCTAGAGGTTTTGTCACCATGAGTATCCTAACAGTACGTACTTTGGAGGATGCCAAAGGCAGTTTTTAATTATCCACTTGTCTCATTCCAAAATACAGCAAGGTTAGGTCTTCTTAGATAGTTACTTAAACTGAAATCAAACAAGACACCCTAGCAACTTCCAATTTCAAGTACTTATACCTGGGAACTTCTTTATTATATTTTCCCTCTTGTTTTACAAAAAAGGAGTGAGGCGCTTAGGGAAGTTAAAAAGTAATAAAATATGAGGGAAAAGGGCAACATCCGTAATATGCCAAGAGGCATTTCTGTGTTTCGCTCTCCTTTGTATTCCCAAGTTGCTGTGGAAGCAGCACCTTTCCAGGTACAATTTCCAGCAGTGCAGACACGCAGTCAGAGGCAGCGTTGGCTGTTACTTTCCCCTGTGAGCTGAGTCTTCCCCAGGCTTGGCTCTACGTGATGAGACTGACCACACTGGGAAACATCCCTTTTAGACCATGAGCTTTTTAAGAATGGTGACAACAGCTTCCATTTGTTTTTGTATCTCCCAACATGTAGCAAAGGGCTGTGCTTCCAGGGCCTGTTTAGTCTTTGCCGTTTCTGGTCTTCCTGATAAAAAGACAGCAAGGAGACCAGCTGGCAGTTTATCTCATCACTCCTTGGATTCAGTGATATCTTGAATACTGAAGTATTTCCAGTGGATAAGGATTTATTGATGCAAAAGATGTCCCTGTTTGCATGTGGAAAACAGAAGGGTAGAGACCCAGGGGGTTTGGGCAGGAGCCACAGAAAGCAAGTGCAACAGAGCCCATGGTCTAGCCCAGCATTCGAGCTGGTAGACAGAGAGCTCACACCTGGGAGGGCTGCACCCTTCTTTCCCCCGTCTGTGTTTTCCTTTCCTTTGCAAATGTTATTTGACAAAAGCAATTATACTAATTTCCTTCCCTGTGGGCTCAATTCTGGTTTTGACATGATGTCTTGGAGGAATCATTATGCTTACTCCATACAGGAAAAACACCACCCAGCTGTACACCCACGAGTGCTGGTAAATAAAGCTGATGAGACACCTGACTTTTGTGTGTGTTAATGGTTCTGGTTGCCCACAGGTCGTATCCTGGGATCTGGTGCATTTGGGAAAGTGGTGGAAGGAACCGCCTATGGATTAAGCCGGTCCCAACCTGTAATGAAAGTAGCCGTGAAGATGCTAAAACGTAAGTGCTCCTTCCTGGGGATTTTTTGAACATGGAGATAATAAATGAATTGCTCAAAATCACAAAGCCAGTAAATCCCAAATTTAACTAGATCTTGCTTCTTTTGACTCTAGGTTTTATGTGTATTTAGACTCTTTTGTCAATTAGGTTTATTTAGCTTGTTCTTGTTGCCTGTATGTTGGAAAATCAAGAGTTGTTATTTTAAGTGACTTCCTTTTACCCTAAAGACTACGGATTAGTTATGAGATTCTAGACTGAGTCACTCTCTGTTTCTCTTTTAGATCCTTGGTAAACAGAATGATAATCATACCACAGGATTAGCTACATTTTTGGCTTTTTCTGGGAAGTAGGTAGCTCAGCTGAACTGATATGTGATTTATTTCTTCAACAGCCACAGCCAGATCCAGTGAAAAACAAGCTCTCATGTCTGAACTGAAGATAATGACTCACCTGGGGCCACATTTAAACATTGTGAACTTGCTGGGCGCCTGTACCAAGTCAGGTAGGCTTACTGACCCCGGAGTGAGGATTTTCATAGAACACCTGTGGTTGTGAAAACTGTCCAACTAGGCTTTTTAATCCACTACTCTCTACCTCCACATCTACCAGCGAATATAAGTCCCTTGAATGGGAGTTGACTGGATTCCATTGAATTGATGGAAGCTCATTGTTTTTGTGCAACATCTCTTGCCAGTGCAAACATAAGGATTCATGGCCTTTCTCGTCTTCATTTTCATACTCATCTCCTAACGGAGTTTTGGTCTCCACAGGCCCCATTTACATCATCACTGAGTACTGCTTCTATGGGGACTTGGTCAACTATTTGCATAAGAATAGGGATAGCTTCCTGAGCCGCCACCCAGAGAAGCCAAAGAAAGAGCTGGACATTTTTGGATTGAACCCTGCTGATGAAAGCACACGGAGGTGGGTGCAGAGGGACGTTGCTGTGAATCATTGTCATGTGAGCCTCACTGATGGAGAGAACCCATGTCCTGAGAGAGTCCACACCTGCAGATTCAGTGCCAGGAGGTAGCAAGACTTAGAGTCCAGTTACCCTGCCCCATCATTCCATAGACACATGGCGTCTGCAGGTGTTTGAGCGGGGTATCACTCGGGGAGCCTTGCTGATAGGTTTGAATGAGAACAAGAGTTAGAATCATTCTGGGGGCCATTCTGCTATTTATATGTGGTTCACTTAGGGCCTATAAAATGCAGCTCTGACCAGGGATGCCTCAGTGCTTGTGTCTTGTGAGAAACTGTCTGAGGGTCTCCATGCTTGACACACTGGTCCTTGCTGAACCTGAGCTTATAAATTAAGCCAATGATAGTGATCCCTGCTGTAGAAACTTACAAGTGACTATAAAGATCTCTGTAGATAGGAAGTTCTGTAAGATCAGAAAGTACAGTGAGTTCACTTCATATTAAATTACCTGAGGGACACCAAGTTGGTGCTAAATTTATTGAGTAGCAGGAATTGTCTGTCCAGGCTACATGTCATGTTGCACAGGTTCATGGCCTGTGAATTGAAAAACAGAAAGAATAAAGACAGACGTAATGAAAATTTCAAACTTTAAATGTAGTAGACTTATAAAATTTTACAAGCCTATGGGAGCCTCTGGGAGCCCCACTGTCTTAGATGTGGCTCTTCAGGATGTCTGTGCTCCTGCTGAAGATGTGTAGGGCACTGACACTGAAAACAAACAGGAAAATAAATAAACAATAATAATGTTAGGCAGCTAACATTTGTGGAGCCCTTTATTTGTGCCAGGTATCATTCCAAATATCCCCTGAGTCTTGCCCATCTTTGTAAATGGGATTCATTCTGTGTCCTTAGAGATGTGCTTCCTTGGCCCCCAGAGTGGGTCATTTTCCTCATCTGCTGTCAAAACCTTCCTTCCTTCGCAGCACACCTGCATTGAGATGATTATTGACTAATGCTCGTCTCCCTGACAAGACCACCCCACAGGAAGGGTGTGGGTTGGTTTTGCTTTTGCTCACCCCGGTCGCCCCGATGTGCACCACACTACCTTGCACACTGTAGGCACCTGGTCATCACCTGCTGAATGTTGAATGACCACTCCAGAGGGCCACCCTGGGTAAGGTTTCTTTTTCTGTTTTTACAGTTACGTTATTTTATCTTTTGAAAACAATGGTGACTACATGGACATGAAGCAAGCTGACACCACACAGTATGTCCCCATGCTGGAAAGGAAAGAGGTTTCTAAATATTCGGACATCCAGAGGTCGCTGTATGATCGCCCAGCCTCATATAAGAAGAAATCTGTGTTAGGTAAAAGTGTCTGTGCTCACTCTTTGGGTGTTGTGATCTTCCTTCCTTCTTACGTTTGATACAATACGTAAGATACTCAGAAGAAAGTGAGACGCATGGTAAATAGCACTGCCAGGCTACGTGGTCCCTAAATGCAGATCTGCACAACCAGGTCTGTGACATGTTTTCACAGGTTTGTGGCCTGTGAATTGAAAAGAAGAAAAAGAATAAAGAGACTTACTGTAATGAATTTTTCAGACTATATTGTAGTCATTTTAAAGAATTATTTATTCTAATGATCTTTCTTTTTTTGGTGTTAACATATCTTTTTTTTAATGAAAGTGTGGTGATAATTGGTGTTTTTTTTCTCGTTGTCCTTGGCAAAATTAAAAGTGGGCAATCTTAATTGGTTCTTAATATTATTATTTTAATTTAGTTATATGTCTCTGATATCTATGAGTTCAATAGCTCTTGCTTTTGGCTTTGCTAGTATCCAATTTGTGATAGAAACTGGAAAGCAGACAATTTGAGGTTATATTATCTGACAGGGGCATTGAGTGTTTCTATTGAGTGTTGTTTGAAGGAGGATCCGTCTGTTTTCAAAGCAGATGAGCGTGTGGCAGGGATGAATTGATTTATAAACTCCAGGGAGCCTAGCTGATGCCCATACCAGATGGACTACCCCGCATCTGCTGGGAGGTGTTCCCTCCAGGGTTCTAGTCTCATCACAGGCTTGGAGGGGAACAGGAGGGTGGCTACTAATGGGTCTGATGTTGACTTGTCCCTGATCTTGTATTATTGGGTCTGAGCCCTCCTACTGATCACTGCAAAAGAAGTGTTGAGCTGCTATAGACATTGTTTTGAAAATCACTAATGCGCTCTGAATGCTTTCAGAGTTCTTAAGGGAAAGGTACAATGCATAAAAAAAAAGAATGTGCTTGTTTTGCAAAGCTCAGTACACATGAATATTTTCCATTGCTGCAGTTCCAAGTTCCATGCACTTCCCATTGCCAAGTGGGTAAACTTCCAAGCCCTTTATAACGATTAGCCAATGGGGGTTGTCGGAACCAGCGCTTCCTCTGCCCTCCCGTGTTGTTAAAAATAGTTTACATTGCTTCCCAGGCTGGACCTGGCTCCAGACGTCAGGGGAACCTGATTCACGCTCAGCCCAGGCCCTGTTGGCAGGCAGGCTGCTGCTCTCTGGCCTTCCCCTTGCTGGCTGGAAAAATGTGAATGGCGGCAGCTACTCTTCACTTGCCTGAAAATTTTCAAAAAGAACTGAGAGCTGCTGGCCTCGAGTGCCTCCTTCCTCGAAAACCCTGGGACCCTTCCAGATGGGACTAACTGGGGAAAGTGGACACGTTACAAACAAAGGGAACTAAACACCAGGTCATTGGCACCGATCTATAAGATTGCTACCTCTAGTCTGACTGGTGGTTGATTTTATTCAAAAATAAGCTGGGTACTATGAAGGTGACTTTAAAAAGAAAAAAGGCAATTCCTGGAAGCTACTTTTTCAAAAGGCCCTCATGTAATATTCATCATGAAAGATTTTAGTGTGTGTGTGTTTTAAGGTGGCTAAAGTGATTTGCTAACTAAAGTTGGAAAAAATTTGGGAGGCAAACAACGAAATATGTGTGAGAACCCATTAGATTGGTTCTTATGGAGAGATACATATATCAGATATATGTTTTTTAACCAGGTATATGTTTCTGCTGATATATATATATATATTTTAAGATAGAGTCTTTGCATAATTAGATGCCCACCTATGAAGTCTAGAAACTCTATAAGAAAATAATTTAGATATATGTTTTTTGAACAAGCTTCTATAGCCTGACAAGTGGGCCAGCCCTGTGGGGTGTCACAGCAGGTGGATGTTTCACATGGTCCCCTGGGACCAACACACTTAATTCTTTTTCTGCAGACTCAGAAGTCAAAAACCTCCTTTCGGATGATAACTCAGAAGGCCTTACTTTGTTGGATTTGTTGAGCTTCACTTATCAAGTTGCCCGAGGAATGGAGTTTTTGGCTTCAAAGAATGTAAGTGTGTTCAAGGAAAAGTGACGTCTTTAGACCCAGGCCACAGATTTCAGAGTGAGGTTAGCACGGAAGATACATCTTGGAAGGCCAGTAGCAATGGCTGCTTCTCTCTTTCCTCTTCCCCAAAGCAGAGTGGCAAGTCTGGCATCATCAGTGTCTACTTTTCTCCAGAGCTTTCTCCCTCTTGGGAGTGGTTGGGATGAGAGCCTGGGGCAGGTGATCTCTTTGTGCCAGGACAGCCTCCCTGAGGTGTGCCAGGCAGCTCCACGTGCCACTGTGAAGTGGCCAGTTTGGCAGGGGTGACGCTGTCTAGAGGCAGAGAGATTGACCCTGTCATCGTTTCTTCTCTTTCTGAGCAGTGTGTCCACCGAGACCTGGCCGCTCGCAACGTCCTCCTGGCGCAAGGGAAGATTGTGAAGATCTGTGACTTTGGCCTGGCCAGAGACATCATGCACGACTCCAACTACGTGTCCAAAGGCAGCGTACGTGCTCTCTCCCCTCATTTGGCATTGTCACCCTCTCTCACTTGAATCTCTCAAGTCAGGTGTTGCTTCTACCCGTTTGGTGCCCGTAATTTTAACATGGAGTCCGTGAGACTCATGAATGGGCTCCAGGGGGTCAGTGTGAGGCACAGGTTCTGTAGCCAGGCCACCTGAGTTTGAGCACCAGCTCCCGCACTTTCTAGCGTGGGATTTGGGGCAAGTTACTTGACCATTCTGTACCTTGGTTTCCCTATCTGTAGCAGGGAAGTGATAATAGTACCCATCTCCTGGGTTGCCGTGGGGGATTAAATCAGTGAATTCATGTAAAATGCTTAGGACAGTGCCTGGGACATACAAGCACCCAATAAGTTTTAGCTCTTACTATGTAAATTGTGTGTACATGCATGCATTTCCAAGAGGAGGGTATATAACTTTTATCAAATTTTCATCCATCATCTCTAAAATTAACTATTTGAGTTAATATCTTAGAGGCATGATTTCCTTAAAGATAGTCATTCTACCTTATACTTGAACCTTTCTCCCCACCCCTTCCACCTCTAATCAGATAAAGTCGTTTGGGATACATCTGCCACCTGTAGGTACAATTCTAACCACCCACTGCACTGGTCATGAGACAGCTACGGAGTTGTTGCATCCACCTAGAGAAGGACGCTGGCCTGCGTCCGTGCTCTGTGTGTTTCATGTACTGTCTGGCCATGACCTGTAGCTTTAGGCACTATGAACAAACCAATGGACTTTGATGGGGCTAATTTCTCACCTGTTCCTAAAGGTTATGAGTCTCCGTTATCTCCTCAGCAATCTTAGAGGACAGAAGGATGCTAATGCGGCTACTTTATTTCTCTGCCTCAGTTTAGTATTTCCACTGAAGGTTGGACCAGCCTCACAAAAGAGGCTGCAGAATTATCATCATGTCAGACTCTTTGTAGTGGTAGGAAATGACTATTTCGTAAAGGTCAAAAATGTAATTGGCTCTCAGATCACTGGATCTCTTCTTAATTTTATTCTTAGGAGCACCTGAAAATAGGGGACAGGTCTATTCAGGGCTCACACTTTTTGGATCAAAATTCAGGATTAAATATTTTTGGATGTTATTCCTTTGGAGGACATAGAGGCAACACTGTCCATTCATCATTCATCAGATATTTATTGCACACCCACTAGGTACCAGGCACTCCTCTGAGTGCTGAGAGTATGGCAGTGAACAGAACACACAGGAGACACCTCTGTGGGGCAAGGTTATCAGTGCATTATTATTAGCCCCGAGAGAACCCCTTCCCACTGCTGCTGCTGTGGATCATAGGTGTGTACCCTGGGTCTAATTTCCTCCCTCCCTCCCTGCAGACCTTTCTCCCTGTGAAGTGGATGGCTCCCGAAAGTATCTTCGACAACCTGTACACCACGCTGAGCGACGTCTGGTCTTACGGCATTCTGCTCTGGGAGATCTTTTCCCTTGGTACGGGTCTGGCATCTCTGCTTGCCTGGGTTGTTCTGGAACAACACTGGCAGGGAAACACTGTGTTTTTCCCAGCTCCAGGATGTAAACGATGTTAAGATCCCCGTGTGAGTCAAGCATGCTGCAGCCGATTTATATCACACGTTGTGTACTTATGATGTCTGGTGTGTGCCCATGCAGACTGAGATGGGGTCTTGGGGGGCTATGCCCTCACCCCTAGCCTTTGCCCCTCCTCTCCTTTGGGCTACCCCAGAGTGACTGTCTCCCACTGGAAATGCTCCTGAGGGCATCCACTCTCTGGCTGCTCTTTCACCTTGGACTTGGGGTTAAGTGGGTTCATCAGTGGCAAGCTGCCCCTTCCTCACCTCATGGTGATCCTGCTCACGTGAAAGTAGTGTGGGGAGGAAAAGGGCATGACTCTCCTTCCTGGTCAAACCTCCCATTCATTCATTCATTCATTCAGTCAGTCAGTCACCAAATACTGAACAACACAGATGCCCCATGCTGCCAGGTGAGGGCCCCAAGAGAGGGGTCATTCAGGACCCTAACCTGTACACAGTTCATCTGGGGAGATGAGACTTACAAACTTGACTCGGCCTTGGACGTAAAAATGTGAAATATTTCATGAATTTCCTGTTATCCTATGTGATAGTAAAGGTCTTCCTTGCCTGGTCTCCTTTTTCCATCCTAGTTCTCCCTCCATGGATGTCACTGTAGGTCATTCCAGTGTGCGGCTCAACCGAGTCTCCAACTCCCTTAAAAGCAGAGAATTATCTTGACATTTCAGGCCCCGACTTTGACTTCTGCTTTAATTATTTGAACATTTCTGGTGAAAATGACTTTTTTGGCCTCAATGATTCAGAATTTCTCTTGCTTTTCTTTTTTGGTTTGTCTAGGTAGATCCAGTAGTCAGAAACATTGAAAAATGCTTTCATGCTTTTTCTAAAGATGTAGAATTTTTGCCTAGGGTCCCTGAACTTGACCAACTTAGAAGTCCTGGTTAGATTTAAGATTTGGGCAGGCCTGTGTAGTCAAGGAGATAACACTTAATTTCCCGGAAAAACACAGTACTTCAAGGTGGGGATCCCCAAACGTTTTCTAAAGGTGCTGTATGACCCCAAGTGTTTCAGTGGTGCCAACACCCATGCACGTGTTAATCCTGGTTGTTTTCTTCTTTGGCTGTCAGGCGGCACACCCTACCCTGGCATGATGGTGGATTCTACTTTCTACAATAAGATCAAGAGTGGGTACCGGATGGCCAAGCCTGACCATGCCACCAGTGAAGTGTGAGCACCCTCCCCATCCCGTGGGCCTTGTGTTCATGCCCAGGGGGTCCTGGGGGCGGGGGGTGCTCTGACGCTCCTCCCTGTGCCCACTCTGAGTTCTGTTCTTCTCCAGCTATGAGATCATGGTGAAGTGCTGGAACAGCGAGCCGGAGAAGAGACCCTCCTTTTACCACCTCAGTGAGATTGTGGAGAATCTGCTGCCTGGACAATATAAAAAGGTTTGTCTGGGCCTCTTAAGGTGGGCGGAAAGGAAGGGACCAAGAGGGAAGATAACAGCTGGTAGTCACGCCAGTGAGCAGCACTGTTCAACACTGTTTTAAAAGAACATTTTCAAAGGAGGATAAAGATTGTGTGATCCAGCGGCCGAGGCTTCATGGAGTGCTCCACGGGGCCCTGGTGGCAAGGATGAATGAAAACCCTCCCTTCCCGCAGGGCTCCCCTTTCATCTGAAGTGTGCGACACCTGTAAGCACTTTATTCTCCAGATGTTTGCATATCTGAAGCTACTGTGCAGTTAGAAGTCTCAGGGCATCCACAGCCATTAAATCGCTAATTTGACTGCACTTAAATCCATGCGAAATTGGCTTTTACCAGCTGACTGGAAGGAACAACCTCAGCTGTTATCCGTGGCTCCAGCTGGGTTTTTGGGGAATAGGAAGCATTGTTCAAAAAAAATAAATGTAATTTCATGGAGCCAAGCAGGATGTGTTAATGAATGAAACAACTTTCTGTTGAGATGCTGAGAAGGAAACCCACATGCACTTGTATAATCAACTCAATTTCTTAGATTCAGATTAGTCAATATATCGACTTTTCACACTTACTGCTTCTTTCTCTTCTTCTCAAGGAGGAGCAGTGTTAGGAGGCTGCACGCTGAACTGGAAGTTAAATACTTTTGTCTACTGATTATCTCACTGCCCATTTCAACTCCCATAAGTGAGGCAGTGAGGAGGCAGAAGGAAATTAACTGTAGGTCAGTCAAAGACACTCTGGTTGGTGAAGATGTGTTGGTGGGAAGAGATGAACTATTGTTGAAAACGGGAACCTTTTTAGATCAAAGGTCCCTAAGTTTTGAGTTAGATTTCTCCAACAGTTAAGGATCAGGAAGGCTTCAGGTATGGTGCTCTCAGTGGAAGTCTTTGTCACCTCTTATCAGGACCCATCCAAGTCCTGGAGAGACCATATGATGGGGACCAGCGGGTCCACGCTAGTCCCAGAGGAGGGAGTGTGTGTGTATGGGCGCACAGTTGTAGCTACTGACTCGGAGAAGGGGCTCTTAGTATTTTAATATTTACCAGGAGGAGATCTCTGCCATTGGTGGCCCTTTCTTCATGTTCCACATCTCTGGGGACAGTTGACACCCAACTCACCTTCAGTTGTCTAAATCCCTTATCGGTGAGGTATTTTGGAAACACAGTTACAAAATATAAGTTCTGAGCGTCTGTATTCTTTTTTGCAGTTTGGTCAATAACACTTGATTAACTATGTGACGTGAATGTTTGTAGAGTTATGAAAAGATTCACCTGGACTTCTTGAAGAGCGACCATCCCGCCGTGGCACGCATGCGCGTGGACTCGGACAACGCTTACATTGGCGTCACCTACAAAAACGAGGAAGACAAGCTGAAGGACTGGGAGGGTGGCCTTGATGAGCAGAGGCTGAGCGCAGACAGCGGCTACATCATCCCTCTGCCTGACATCGACCCCGTTCCTGAGGAGGAAGACCTGGGCAAGAGGAACAGACACAGGTACATGGGCGCGACCTCAGTCTCCAGCAGTGCTCACCTGTCCCTCTCCAGCACCTGTGAAGGAGAGGAGCCCTGGCCGTGGATAATGAGGCTCTCCAGGTGGTAGATCTGTTCTAGGGCAGTGGGCGGCCCAATCCCCAAGGGGTCAGTGTAGTTTTGAAAATGCTTCCCAGATCATTCTATTGTGTGCCCCCTGCACCTGGGGGAGATGGAGGGCAGGGAGGGACGTGCTTCCCTGGTGGAGAATCTTAGACCTAAGCCCTCAGGTAATTTGATCTCACTGACACAGCAACGGTGATTATTGAGATCATAGAAGCCTCTCTTGCTGTTTTCTTAATTGGTATGGAGCTGAGGAGAAAGTTGAGAGAGAGACTGGACTGGGCTATTTGACGCTACATCAGTGGTTCCTAACCTTAGCTCCAAGTTGGAATCACCTGGGGAGATTTAAAAACTGATACACAAAGCTCACTCAGGCCCACAAATTAGAATCTCAGGGAGTGGGGCCCAAGCGCTCCCTGGCTGATTTGTTCTTTCTTTCTTTTTGACTTTGTGTTATGAAAGATTTCTAACATGTACAATTCAAGAAGTGTAGTGAACTGCCAGGTAATGTGTCACCCAGCTTCTGTGTTTATGAACTCATGGCCAGTCTGCATGCATAGCCATATCTACTCATCCTCCCCTGTCCACTCAGGATTATTTCGAAGCAGATCCTAGACATCGTATCATTTCATCCATAAACATTCCATTACGTATCCCTAAAAGATAAAGGCTCTACTTTAAAAAATAACTACATTTAAAAAGTTATTAAAAATAACTGCAGTACCATTGTCTCACCCCAAAAATTGACAATAAATTGTTAAGAGCATCAGATATCCAGTGTTCAAGTTTCCCTGATTCTCTCACAAATGTTATTTTACATTTGGTTTGTTCTATTCAAGACCCAAATAAGAGTCACACATTGCATTTGCTTGATATTCTCTCTAAGTTCATCCTGCCTCTTTTTACCCCTTTGCGTATTATTTGTGAAGAAACTAGAGTGTTTGCCTCTAGAGTTCCCACATTCAGAATTTTGCTGATTGCATCCTGTAGTGTGCTTTATCATGTGCTTCTGTCTCCTGTATTTGTTGTAAACTGATAGTTGGTCTGGAGGCTTGATCTGACTCAGGTTAGATTTTTGGCAAGTGTGCTTCAGAGATGGCGCTGTGCACTTCCATCAGAGGTACCTAATCTCCAGTTGTCTGTCTTTCTGTGACATGAGCAGCCACTGATGATCACTACCTAGATCCATTAATTTATTACCAAGGTGATGCTAATGTACAGCCAGGACTAGAACCACTGGTTTACATGGTCCAGATGGAGGGGACTGTGCCCCAATTCCCTGCTGTCTTTGCGTAGCCCTTGAACAGAGGCAGGAGAAGGTTATGATAATGGCCCCTGGTTCAAGGTCCAAGTTGCTTATGAGTCACTTTTTTTCTCCTTTGTTCAGGATGTTGTTTTCCCATCTTCAGTGGTTCAGTTGACTACATACAATTATTTAGGCACATGCCATTATTACTTTGGAGGCTTATAGCTGTGAGCTCTCTCAACCAATTTAGGTAGAAGATATAGACAGCCCTTGTTTATTTGTATGCGCCACGTAATTTTGAAAGTACAAGGTTTTTTTGTTGTTTTTGCGGGGGGATGTGTTATGAGATTTGGAGATGGGGCAAAGTGGCCTGTCTGACTGACTTATCTAATTATCCTTTGCTCAGGACAATTTATAAAATGTATTTATATTCTTTATGCAAACAGTGTTTCTCCAAGTTTTGGGGATCTATGGTAGAACTTCATGGGGGTGAGGGAAGGCTGAGCAGTGGGTCTCCGAGTGCTCTAGCCCAGATCTGTCATCCATCTGGTTACTTTGTATTTGGGGGCTCTGAATAATATTTCAATTGTAAAAAAGGGTTCTGCTTCTAAATAAAGTTAGAAAGTCACATTGGGTTAAATAACATAAGAAAGGGCTTCAGAACTTTTCTAGGGGTGCACAAGGCTGGAGTGCAGAATTTGATACATATTCCACAGAGAGAACAGTTTTAGTTGACAGGTAGTTGTTGTATTAGATAATTAGAACTCCTGAAAGGTTAGTATGTTTGATCTTCTTCAAATCACACAAAGTATGTCCCAAATGACTACACCAGGTCGGGGAGACTGTGGCCCTGACAGGTGTGCTGTCACCTGTCTGAGCGTGGTGGTGTTGCTCAGGCTGCCCCAGCACAGCACCACAGACTGGGGGCTTAAACAATAGAAATTTATCTTCTCACAGTTCTGGAGGCTGGAAGTCCAGGATCAAAGTGTCGGCAGGTTTGGTTTCTCCTAAAGCCAATGTCCTTGGCCTGCAGATGGAGACTTCTTGCTGTGTCCTCACATGGCCTTTTTCTGTGTGTGCGTCACTGGTGTCTCATCCTCTTCGTATGAGGACACCAGCCCTATGGGATTAGGGACCCATTTTTTTTTTTTTTTTAAAGATTTTATTTATTTTTTCCCCCCAAAGTCCCAGTAGATAGTTGTATGTCATAGCTGCACATCCTTCTAGTTGCTGTATGTGGGACGCGGCCTCAGGATGGACGGAGAAGTGGTGCCTCGGTGCGCGCCCGGGATCCGAACCCGGGCCACCAGCATCGGAGCGCGCGCACTTAACCACCAAGCCATGGGGCCGGCCCAAGGGACCCATTTTAATGACCTCATTCAACATTAATTACCTCCTTAATGGCCCTACCTCCAAATATAGTCATGTTGGAGTTTAGGGCTTCAACATATAAATTTTAGGGGACACAATTCAGCCCATAAAAATGAGGGGGAGTCCAAGAGCTGGGCTGCTCTGGGTCTAGGCAGGCTGGAAGGAGTCAGCATGGTGGTCCTGTGGAACTCTCTCCTCAGGCTCAGGATGCTTGGTCTTGGGAGAGGAGTAGGCAGGAGGAAGGTGGGGCGTTGCTGTAGAGGGCTTGGTGGTGCTAGGTCAGAACCTATTGAGAGCTGGGCTCTAGGCTACAAGGTGGGCACGGTGGCTCAGGAACCAGAAGTAAGCCCTGTCATCAGCTGTAGGACCCACTATGAATCCTGAGAAGCAGCAAGGATGATCTGGTGCTGAGCTTGGTAGAAGTTAGCTTCTTCTGTACCCATACCCCTGCCCTTTCTCTGTGAGATGGGCCGACAGAGAGAGGAGTATGCCAGGCCCAGGAGGGCCAGTGCCAGGGGGACTGACTCCACTGTAGGACTCAGCTGTAGAACTTGCCCCCAAGGAGAGGGCCATCAGTCCAAATCACAGCATCCAAGGAAGTGTCATAAAATGCAGGTCCTAGTTGGGTTGGGGTCAATATCCAACGGTTGACTCAGGCCTCCAGCTATTGGGCAGGACCCCAGAAACCTGGCCTCCCGGGGAGAGGGGCTGTCAGGACTAGACAGTGATTATCAAGAAGAGCCAAGGGGACCGAGGTTCACGAGGCAGCTCCAGGATAAGTGGGGGGTGGAGTGGAATACAAACTGGGAACTGAGGCAAAATCTCTGTCATAGGGAAGGGCCCAGTCTGTGGGGTTGTGAAGGGAAACCTCAGTTCAGTAGCCCCACAGGTTCTAAGAGCTCTCTGAGCCACAGAGACCTTGGGGTGGATGGCAGCAGGCTGTTTCCTGTAGGCTTCTACTTGGCCAGGCGCAGTCCTCTGCTTGGAAACTGAATGGAGAGGAGAGGAGAGAGGCTGAGGAATCAGGCCTGGCCCGATAGGCAGGATGTGGCTGAAAGCGTTGAGAGCCCCTGTTTGATATGTGGGTGCGAGACTCCTTCCTCTGGCTGGCCAGCCAATAGTATGGTTTATGTGCTTTGTGTATAGCACAGCGCTGCAGCCTCACAGTGAGGAGGAGAAACCAGGGTCCTGCCTGTCAGCAGATGATAGTCTGCTTGGAGCAAAAAGACTTACATAAAAATGTAGCAATACAGGGTAGGGTAACAATAAGACAGTAGGAGTTCAGAGAAGGGAGGAGAGACAGGGAGTTGTAACAGGCTAGAGACTTTAGGGAAGATTATTTTCCAAAAATTTTTGTAAAACATTATAAATGCCCAGAAAAATTGAGAGAATACATCTATCACTTAGATTGGGCCATTGTCACATTTGCTGTATGTATATAATAGGTGTTGTGTGTATCACACACACACGCTCTCAGACTTTTTTCCTTGCTAAATCATTTGAAACTAAATCACTTGAAACTCCAGCACACATCTTGTCAGAATAAGGATATTCTGTTCCATAACCATAATAGCATGATCATGCCTAAGAAAATGAAGAACTATTTCCTGATATCATCTAATATCCAGGCCTTGTTTAAATTCAAGGAAGAGTTTGAATGATAACAATAGTAATAGCTAACATTTATTGAGCTCTTATTATGTTCTAGGCACTGTGCTCAGTGCTTTGTGGTGATTCCCTTATTTAATCACCCTGACAGACAGGAAAATTGTCAAGCATTATTGTCATCCCATTTTATAGGAAAAGGAACAAGTTCAGGGGGTTCAGTGACTTGTGTGAAGTCTCACAGCTAGTAAGTGATGGACCATTCCAGACCTAAGACTTTCTTACTCTAGAACTCTCCTTTGCAGCCACTAGTCTAGTAAGTAAAGAGCCTTTACCTGGGTCTTCAGATGCCCTTTTGATCAGGCATTGCTGATTTTCTCTTCCATTAGGATTGAGTAGGGTAAGTAGAGATTGTTGAAGCCTGTTAGCAACTTGAATGAAAGATTTGGCAGAAGAGAAGGAAAGCTGAAGTATGGAGGTGTCCTGTGGATCTAGGTTTTCCATGTGGCTCACTGCAATGCAATGGATGATGAGTAGCTGTCTGATCTGGTGGCAGAATTTTGCCCAACTAAGTAGATTGAGTTTGAAAGCTAAAGGCTCTTGCGGGAAGATCTCCTTTGCCTTTGGGGGGCCACCTTAGAAACACCACCATGGTCTAGTTGGTCTGTATGTGAGCGGTAACCTTTCCTATTCTCTGCCTCCTCCAGCTCGCAAACCTCTGAAGAGAGTGCCATTGAGACAGGTTCCAGCAGTTCTACCTTCATTAAGAGAGAGGACGAGACCATCGAGGACATCGACATGATGGACGACATTGGCATAGACTCCTCAGACCTGGTGGAGGACAGCTTCCTGTAACTGGCAGATTCAGGGGGTACCTTCCACTCCTGGAGCCACCTTGGATCCTTTCAAGAAAACCACTTTATTGCAATGCAAAGTTTCAGAGAAGGACTTTGATGATGTGTAAAGAGAAGTTCTCAGCCGAGGGCCTCAGGGAGCCTTCTAAATATGAATGAATGAGATATTTTGAAATGAACTTTTTCAGCATTGCCTCTTGCAATGCTTCAGTAGCATCTCAGCGGTGTATGAAGTTTGGAAGTAGATGGACAAGGAAATAATAGGCCACGGAAGATGAACTTTGTGTTTCAAGGGCATTGGTGATATTCCAACGTACACATTTTTTACTGCAACAAAACTCCAGCGTTGTAATTATGTAAATAACTCTAACCAAGGACGTGTTTAGATTTGTATTAACTATCTTCTCTGGACTTCTGAAGAGACCACTCAACCCATCCATGTACTTCCTGCTTGAAACCTGGTGTCACTTGCTGTTGAACTTTTTTATGAAGTACATGCAAAACCACTTTTGAACCTTAAAAGGTACTGGTACTATAGCATTTTACTTTTTTTAGCATTAAAAGATAAAGGATAATAATTAACCAAACTTGTTTAATAGATTTGGGTCTTTTAGAAGCCCAGCAACTCATTTTTATACTATAATCTACGTTTATAATAATACTACTGTTATCAGTAATGTTAAATGTGTAATATGTAACATGTTTTCCCTACAGAGAAAGCACAATTTAAAAGAATCCTTACTAAGTAGGTGACAAGTTGGACAGTTTTTGACATTTATATTAAATAACATATGTTTCTCTATAAAATATGGTAATAGCTGTAGTGGATTAAATTTAGTTGAACATAGAGAACAAAGTGAAAGTAGTGTCTTCCAGGAAGTCAAAGTTTTTAACTGTGTACTGAATAGGTTCCCTAATCCCTTGTACTAAAAACAATTAACTGCCCTCTGACGTAATGGGATTCGAAAAACAAACAAAACCCCTAAATCCCAAACGTTCTCAATATAAAGGCAGGAGCCTATGCTTAACATGACTTCTCATGTTATTACCCAATGGATTTGCAGAGGTTTTTTCATGCCTGGTAATCAGTTTGGTGGATCCCAAAATATATAGTTTTTAAATTCTACAAGCCCTAAAAGAGTCAGAAGGATGCCCTGAACATCAGCCTCCTTCCTTCATCTCTTACCCCAGAGAGAGAGTTTAAAACTCTGAGACCATAAAGGCATTGTTTAGTGAAGGCTGTGTGTGCATTAGCCTGGATCCTTGGTTCCCAAATGTAACTGGCAGCTAAAATCACCAGATTCTAGGTCCCCATCCCAGAGATTCTGAGTTATTAGGTCTGGCAGGGAGCAGAAACCTATATTTTTATAAATTCCCTGGCTGTTCTGATCAACTAGGTTTGGGAAACACCAGCTTAGGTTACAGGAAGTTGCTATGGGAAAAAAATAATTTGAAATGTGGAACTGGGCTAGAAGTCAACCATGCGGGAAGCCTACTATTTAAATCCTTGGCTTGGGGTCAGTGACATTTAATGCCGTATATCTAGCAATTGCTACCTTTAATTTAACTTTCCAGTCTTAGCTGAGGCTGAGAAAGCTAAATCTTGGTTTGGCAGGTCTTCTAAAAGTAAAGACACTGCTTCCCACTGCATGGGGGAACTGATCTTGCCCTCTTCCCCCCGAAAAGGCATGTACAAAAATGATGCAATTCAGTGTGCCAAGTCTCTGTGTAACCAGGTCAATATCTGAGTGAAAAAAATTTAAAAGTTTTACTGAAATTTTAGTGTTAGATGGGAGGACAAATTGTCACATCCATCCAAACTGTCATGCTGGTTGGTGTGGGTTCATTGGCATTCTTTGCAATACAGCTTAATTGCTGACACCATATGAATGAAACATGGGCTGTGATTACTGCAATCACTGTAGGTGCTTCTGGCAGGTGATGCTCGGGAAGGTGGAGAAGCACTAACAAGGTACTTGACTACCTACTGGTATAATCTCAATGCAAGCCCCAACTTTCTCATCCACCTTTTCCATAGTAAGTGTGAAGACTGAGCCAGATTGGCCAATTAAAAAAGAAAACCTGACTAGGTTCTGTAGAGCCAATTAGACTTGAAATACATTTGTGTTTCTAGAATCACAGCTCGAGCATTCTGTTTACCACTCACTCTCCCATGTACAGCCTTCCTTTCTCGGTGCTTTGCATTTTGATTTTCCTTTGAGTCTTGCATGACGTCATGAGGCTGGATGAAAATTCTCAGACCAACAGGTTCCAGTCCTAATGAATGCCCCCACCTGAGTTTGTGTGTGCCTGCATTCTTTTTTTTTTTTTAACAGTGTTTTCAGTGTATCACAGATTTGTTTCCCTTTTGGCCTCCTACAAAGTCCGGGATAAAAATTTGCCAATCCTTCCTGCTTTCTATTTTTATGAAGACAATCAAAGCTGGCCTGAGAAACACAATTTGTAACTTTTTAAATGATCAATCATGTCCTTAAAAATGTGGTCTGCCAATCTGTACAAAATGGTCCTATTTTTGTGAAGAGGGACGTAAGATAAAATGATGTTATACATCAATATGTATATATGTATTTCTATATAGACTTGGAGAATACTGCCAAAACATTTATGACAAGCTGTATCACTGCCTTTGTTTATATTTTTTTAACTGTGATATTCCCCACAGGCACATTAACTGTTGCACTTTTGAATGTCCAAAATTTATATTTTAGAAATAATAAAGAGAAAAATACATAAGTGTTCTCAAAACAGTGGTGTGGTGAATGTGTGAGAAGAACTAACTCGATAGGAAGGGTCTACCGATACAAAATGTATGACAACTGCCCCTGTTCATGTTTTTGTTTTAAAACGTGTAAATGAAGATCTTTATATTTCAATAAATGATATATATATATATAATTTAAAGTTATGCTCAAGTTCCAGCATTTTTGTTTTTAGTTGAATCATATAAATGAAAACCATCCTGTTCAAATTACTTTCTTAGCAACATTCCAGTAGGACTCTGTGTTACAGTTTTGATGAAACCAATGGAAAATTTAAGATTTAAACGTTATTTGAGCTAATTAGTTCTCAGACCCAGCGTTTGACTTAAAGATGACTGGCACTTGGCCCATCTTTGATCCTATGTTATTTTTGTTTGTTATAGCAGCATTTTATTGCGTAGTGGTTTTCTCCCCTACGTGAGACATACAGGACTGCATTTCCTCTGGACAGCACTCAAACATCGGAGAAGTGTGTAAAGTAAAAGGTTCAAGTCCTTTTTCACCATATCTTCTTCCCTGACCCTGTCCCATATCCCAGAGGCAAAACTGCATCATTTGGTGTGTTTTTATCCTTTCAACCGCCTCTCTGTGCATCTGCTTATACACGTATATACACATCTCTGTTTTTACTTCATATTTTACCTAAATGGGATTGTACTTTATGTAATGCTTTGTAATGTACTTTTTCTTTTCTGTTTTTAAATAGACTTTATTTTTTAGAGCAGTTTTAGGTTCACAGCATAATTGAGCAGAAGGTGCAGAGATTTCCCATCTACCCCCTGCCCCCCCACATGCACAGCCTCCCCCCTTATCGCCATCCCCCGCAGAGTGGTATATTTGTTATAATTGATGAAACTACACAGACACATCATTATCACCAGAGTCCACAGTGCTCTTTTCTTTTAATGCTATGTTTCAGAGATCTCTGGGAGAAGTATACAGGGATAGACCTCCCTCAGTTTTCATCAGCTGCATGGTATATCCTTATGAAAATATACCATAATTTATGCAATCACATTCCTGTAGATTCATTTATAGTTTCCAATTCTTTGCCATTAAAGGACTTCATGAACATCCTTGCATACATATCCTTGTGTACACATAGTAGTGTTTTGTTAGGATAAATTCCTAGAAATAAAATGGCTAGGCCAAAGGGTGTGCAGAAATAAACTGATATTGAGCCCAAGTCTGCAGATCTGATTGTCACAGTAAATTCTTGAACGTCTGTGCGTGAATCGCCTGCTTTGCAGGTTATCTGCAGTTGTCTAGGATTTCCTCTGCCTCCCTTGCTCGCTGTGATGTGTTATGTGTGGGAGGATGTGGGTTTTGTGTTCTGAAGCTTGCTGAATCCAATGACTTTAGGAATTAAAAAGAAAATTATACAACTTGCCTTATTTTCAACTCACAGATAATGGAAATTCGTTATGTTGTTAATAATTGAATAATTGGAATATGGTACCCTATTCCAACATAACTCCTATTACCCAAATTTAAATGCCTGCATATCAAAGCACACCTCACCTTCTTGGAGTCAAGCTGGAAGTAGTTCCTGTAGGTTGGGTATTGGCTCTGCCTCTGTTCCAGCCCCAGGAAGGAGACAGATCATCTTGAACAATAATCCTGCTGATTAAACAATAGCTGCTTAATCTAGCATCAAATCAGAGCTCCAAGCCTGTGAGAGACCTCTTTGTTCTCCTTTTAATGTAACTGCCACCTCTTAATATAATGCGGACAATTCTGCCTACTTTATCTCATCATGATAATAAAAAACGGCTTATACTATTGGAAGGTTTTAAAATTTTTCAAAGATCCCTTTCACATTACAATTATTTTGATTCTTTTTATTTTTTTATAATGTTTTATTTATTTTTGTGTGTGAGGCAGATCAGCCCTGAGCTAACATCCATTGCCAATCCTCCTCTTTTTGTGCTGAGGAAGACCTGCCCTGGGTTAACCTCCGTGCCTGTCTTCCTCCTCTTTACATGGGCCGCCGCCTCAGCATGGCCTGACAAGCGGTACGTGGGTGCGCACCCTGGATCCAGGCCCAGACCGCCAGCAGCGGAGCACGCGCACTTAACCGCTAAGCCACCGGGCCAGCCCCTTATTTTGATTCGTACGATAGCACTTTGAGACAGAGAAGGCATTTTATAGGTGAGGAAACCAAGTGACTTCTAAAAAGCATAGGACTGAGTAATGAGAGCACTGGGATGAGAAATTCCAA